AGTAAATGTTTTCAGCAAAGAAGCTTGGGTCAATATCTTTTTTGATTTATAGAAAAAAAAGAAAACATTTATTGCCAACAACAAAAAAGTTACAAAAATTATCAATAGAAATAAAAACTTTACATTTGTTATTGCCAACGTGGCCACAAGCATGTGCTGCAGCTATTTAATTGCTACAGAATTGCTAATTTATACATATTCAATTTAGAAGACTCTCAAGCAAACAAAACAGACGTGACACAAATGTTATTTTGCGGTGATTGAACTTGTACATAATTAGAAGGTAAAGCGATAATTTTAGCCGCTAGACCATTAAGGTCAAAAATAAAAATCTAAATCAAATCAAAATAGTGATAACTTTACCACTAACAAAAATATAATACGGGCAAATGGAAAACCTTCTCATTTTGACGCTGACAAAGACAACAATAATAAGTGTCACACAAGACAAAAATAAAAATTATCAACAAGACTTATAAATAGTAATCTGCTTACATATTCCTAGCCAAATCCAAATAAAAAATTTAACTATCGTGAAGGTTGTAAAATACAAAAATTTCTTTAAAAAAATGAAATGTCTTAATTACACGAGTTTTATGCAGTAACGGCAGTTATTGCAGTCTGGTGCAAGGTTATTTCAAACTTGCCCCGTTCACGGTTTAATGGGAACTACACAGTGGTTGAAATTTGAATTTTTCAGTCGTTACCTGAGCCTATAAATCAAGTGTAAAGTCGCTCTAAGCTCTCCGAGATCGCTTTCTTGAACATTTTAAATTTAAATTACCTACTACCAACAAATCCGACCACGTAGGGGTGTATAATTTATAAGTATCTAGGCAAGTACGTATACAAATGGTACGTGTTGTGAGTTAAGTCCTGTGACTGGAGGGAGAAATTATTAGTAATGAGAATGATTGCTAGCAATAAATCTATTGCTAGCAATATAACCTGTCAGATCTACTTTTGCGTGGTCTGCTTAGTTAATTGGCCTATTTTTTAGTTAGTGAGCCTATTTCATTCTCATCCTTTCATTCTTCACTGGTGTCCCCCTATTTTATAATATTAGCATAGGCGACAACACCATCCCATCCTCGTCCATAAAAAAAATCTTAAGTTATATATCTGGTATAAGTATAAGTAAGTATATCTGGTTCATATAAGTATTTATTTTCCGTCTTTTTAGATACACTAAAACCTTTTATTTTCAACCTATTTTATTATTATTGTAATAGGGCTTTTTATTATTTACCTAATACGAAAAAATAAACGTATAATAAAAATAAATAACAATATAGACAGTAACGACGTTTTAGGTAGTGAGCAAAGATATTGAACTGTAACACAAGTATTTTTAATTCAACAAAAATATTAGTATCCAACAAGAATATTAGATATCAAACTTATGTCTAGAACATTTCGCTAGTGAGCAAGACTGGGTATTTCTACCTATAACTGCCTATTAACGATTTAAGAGGGTAAGTAATTTAAAGTTAAAGATATTATTTTGTTGGTAATCTTTAATGTATATTATTTTTAAAAGCAAATAAGTAATACTTATTTATTTAAAGCTACTTCCAAAAAGGGAAGTACTCAACTCTTTTGTATTCAGTTCACACTCGTGTTGATTAAAACTATTAAGACAACTTGTTTGTCATTCTAAATCAAATGACAATAACCGTTTGTCGTATCTCCTTACTTTCGGGGCACTTCCCTCGATAATAAGTCGAGTCTGGGGATTCTTGGCGTCGATATATCTAGCGATGTATCATTGGAGGAAAAAGCTAAGATAGCTTCTTCAATAGGGTGAGACGGTATTTCACGCCAGAAAACCGCCTGAAACTATATAAAGCTCAAGTGCACACATGGAATACTGTTCTCACCTGTAACAGTACCAACTCCTTCCGTTATTTCGGGCAGCTCGAATTTTGACGATCGGCGTCTTACTTGTCGACCCACTGGAACTGCGTAGAGTGCATTCTATGCATTTTTACCGAATTTATCATGGGGAGTGCTCTAGAATTGTTCGGATTGATATGCAGATTTTCACCATCGTACAACCCGCCATAAACTAAAATTTCATCCCAACCATCTGGACAAGTGGCGGTCCTCCACCGTGCGTTTAAGGCACTTTCTTCTTTGAAATCAACTTCCAGCAGCAGTATTTCCGAACCGATACGACAACATAACCTTCAAGAAAAGAGCATATTCCTTTTTAAAAGGCCGGCAGCACACCTGCAATGCCGTAGGTGTTGTGGGTGATCATGGGCGGCGGTAGTCACTTACCATCAGGTGAGCCGCATGCTCGTTTGCCCCCTGTGTTGTAAAAAAAAAAAAATAAAATAAAAATATAGCGCATCAAAACTCCTGAATTCTTTATCATTAAATGTATTCATTAGAAACCCTGAAAATTTTAATCGTAAAGCTCTTTTACAATTTTATGTTTTGTAAATAGTATTAATTTATTGTTATGTAGATAGATTAGTTACTTACTAATAGTTTAAAGAAACGATCTTATAGGGTTTTTATACATTTGCATATAGAGGCATCTAGTTTCCATCAATAATATTGCTTGTAAGTAACTACTACTAAGCACGTTTACTTAATACTCGTAGCAAACTTCACACATCGCTCTAACAAAAACATCTAAGTATATCACGAAAACACTAGAGGGCGCTTTATCACAATGTTAAATTTTTTATTAACACAAATTTTAATATTATACTCAACAAATTTAAAATTTATAGTATATATATATTTTTAATATTGTTATAGAATATATATAACAGACAATACATTGAACAAAACAATCAAAAGACAAAATAAAATTTATTTATTTTCCTATATATTAAAATTATGCTGTTTTAAATTTGAACCAAATTAAATCCATTATAATGTATAATTATAATCCATGGATAATGTAGTTACTTATATTAGTAACATTTCTTTCATTTTATAATGGCAATCACGCTAATGATCCACCTAATGGAAAATGGGATCTGTCGCCCACAGACATGAACGCTCTATGAACACCAATATTTACTGTGACGCCCATGAAACACTGAAGGCTTTGGTTCTAAGCCTCCTAACCGTCTAATTTCGTTGCCATATCCCACCCGTCAAACCGGAACACAGCTGCTTCACAACAGAAATATAAGAAGAAGAAAGGTATCCAAGCAGACGACTTTTGTGCATCCATAAGTATGGTCATTTTGTCACATTGCCAACAGAGGGTGTGGTCTATTTCAGGTTGACATTAATTATGTAAATACCGTGTGACACGATCAATCACGCGTTGGATACAAGTTATTTTAAAAAGTATGCCACTTCAGGTGAATGGCTCACGTTAGGATTTGAGTTTATCCAGATATAGGCGCTTGTGTTTTTTTTTCCGCTACAGTGACGAATGGTTGTCAGTCTGTTGAACGTTGCTCTGATGGGTACTATTTACGGCATGACCTGTGACATTCTCTACCTAGGTTCATCGACACATTTGAATTATTAATAAATTGAAAGTAGGTATTACAAGAAATAAAGACATGATTTTTATTTTCTAAAATAAAACTTGTACCTTTGCTTGTGGTAAATAAATACCACACAGTTGCACTTATTGCATTGCACATAAAATATGTAAGGTTAGCTAAGGTGGTTGAATCTTTACAAATTTTCATATTTATAAAGTTTAAGGAATTTGTAGTGTGGTTGAACTGTGATGAAATGGTCCGTGGAACAATAGACAATGTTCGGTTCCTATGTCAGTATTTATTATAAACCTGAATATATGTGCAACAGAAAGGCAGTACGCGTAGAACTAATTGTCTAATGAATTTGTCAATTGTATAAGAAATTTTCTGTTTTGACTACAAATTTTTTTGCATGAATAATAACACCGCGTTTATAGATAGTATTTATATAAAGTGACATCATAATCATTAGCTGCAACCAATTATTTAAATGTTAATTAAATATACAATTACAGTGTACGTATTCTTATTGTGTAACCATTACCATATCATACCATATCAGCCGTTCACTGTCCATTCCTGAACATAGGCCTCCCTCTATTGGGGGGGTTTTGTTAGTAATAACCACGCCTGGCAGACGGGTTGGCAACCGCAGTTAGACTTTGGTGATGTTTTACGAAAGACGCTGCTTCCCATCCTTCGACCATTAAAATCCCTTAATCGCCTCTTACGACACCCACGGGAAAGGAAGAGGTAGCCCTTTCTATGCTGGAACCACACGACCAATCATAATGGTTAACGGTGTAACCATTTTGTACCTATAATTTCATTTAAAATTGTAATATTATTTATTAAAGTAACTTTTTCACTATTACAATATGTCTACATTCATTAATTAAGTAAAAATTACATCTATATAAATTGTTTATTTAATTTTAAATTCTAATTTTACTTGAAACTATAATATTTATACAATTATGCTATACCTATTAAATATATTATTATAAATTGCATATGTTTAAGGGTAAATTTGGTATCATCTCCGTGGACCTTTATCGTCTTTTTGTCCGTAATCAACCGCAATGTCACCAGTATTTTCTAATTTCGTCCATCCTGCCACTTAGTTGAACATAAACAAGAGTTAAACAACTATTTAGTTCAATCAATGAAAGGGAACCTCGTTGATTCAATTGAAAAGCAAATCATATTTCAGCTCCTGGTCTATCTACAATCTACAGTAAGTATCGTGAAGTACTGTAGTTAAGACTGTGTTTAGTATTCATTGCTCTATTGAGTAGATCTCAATAGAGCAATCATGTTTATTTTATAGTCAAGTACCTACCTTTAAAAGAAGGATGTCTCAAATCTACTTTATTTTTTATTCTATATTATACAATATTTTCACTAATTCTAAGCTAATTTTAACAAATATTGTATGTGAAATAAAGTTTATAATTATTTATTACTAACCCCTATTCTAGCCTGCGATTGTACCCATGTGACCAGTATACTTTCACAAATAAAAAAACAATTTAAAAACAATTAAACATTTTTTTAATATCAATTTTCATTATCTCAGTAAATTAAAATTTGTGTCATACTTCAGTCATACTATCAAACTTCAAACTATATATGTGATTATACTTTTATATATATTTTTGAAGTGACGAAGTGAAGTCAGCAAGAGCACAATTTCACATCAATTGTGAAACGTTCGACGCACCCTGAGTTATCGGTGAATGACCTAATCTTTCCACAGAAGTAAATTGGTGTTCCATATACTTAGCTATTCATGCCTAGTCTTTGAAAATCTTCAGTCTGGAAAATAATCAATTAAACATAAAATATAATTACGATATTATATTATACGACATTGTCGACCATTCATAGGAGAGAAAATTCGCATTACTGTATATCGTACGGGTTACGTAAATGCGCAGTAGGGCGGCGGGCAGGGCGCGGCGGCGCGAGGGGCGGAGGTTGACGGGCGGCATTGGCGGAATACAGAGTGCCAGGGACGCTCGCCCCTTCAGTGGATCGTTTGTTTTGACTGAACAACTGATCTCCTATCAAACTACACTTATCTTCCATAGGAACACAGAAAAGATTCCAGGTAAGTTTACAAATAATAGATTTGATGTTTAATTAATATATTAATTATTCAATACTGCAGTATTCAAAATACTGTAAACATAAAATTTTTTCTCTTTCCTTACAGTTGTTTGGAAATTTATAAATACATATTTCAATTATACTCACATGTAGTATATACTTATATGTTATTTAACCCATAAGTCTTGCGTAAATTTGCTTATGTACCTATGTATAATAATTTAACACTTCACCCTTAATTATATTCAGTATTAATTATTTCTGTTGTACGAATTCTAAATATAAATTCAAGTAAATCTTGTAGTGTTCCAATAATTAAGCATATAAATATTTTATTTATTATTATTATTTGGTACAATCTTGAATATAATATATTCTTCATCGACTGTTATCTAACTTAGTTTACTAAGTGTAATTTAGTATGTACCAGGCAACAAAACTCAGACGATATACATAAAATATCTGAAGTGTCCCATTTACAACATTACCAGACAACATGAATTGTGCCTGGTACATACTAAATCTAGAATCTCAGTATTGTGAGAAACTAAATATAGGCGACAGTTATCATTTTCTATCGAGCGGGCTGTCAGCTGGTTTCCTATTCTCTGTAGCATAAAAGAAAATATATTTTATTGAATTTGTCTGTCTAAGAATCGAAACGTCCTTGATTTAACTAAAACTTTAACTATCATACAATCACGACAGCATCTACATTACTCGTATAAGTTTTTGTCAGGGAACATTTGGCAAATGAACATTTAAAAATCTCATATTTTTATATTACTCTATTACATATTACTAAATTAAAATATATAAATATGAATCTTAACGGCGGAAAATCGACTCTTAAAGACGTTCATAAATACTAAACAGCCGTGAATTGGTCAAATTTATAGTTCACGGCCAACATGTCTTGTTATTATTGCTCAATGATAATTTTATATTCATATTAATATATTGAAATAGAATAGACATCTGTTAGTTGCTTTCTCAACCTCCTAAACATTCTCAATTTTTTTTATATCTCTCAGGAATGACAATAAAGTTCTATCGAAACGTGCGACAACCACCGTCTATTTAGTAATTGATTCAGGACGCCTTATTGTTAGCAATATACATTATCAGGTCGATCTTTACGCGGTCCCCCCTGAAAATCACCATGGTTAATTCCTAGTGAATTCGTCAAGATGTAATCCAACTGACTTGATGATAGATTCACCTATCATCCCTTAATGGTGACCTGCCAACGTATACCAAAGCATAAGCGACGCTGCCATTTCATTTTTATCATTAATAACACCATCTATTTATTGTAAAAACACTTGTACTTTTCCACAAATCTCAATATGTGTACAAAGTTCCACTAAGTGACGACAATCACGACTATTAACTTACCGTCTATTGACTTAATAGACAACATGACATCATTAAATATAAGATACAGTCTGTACGCATTTTCATAATCATTAACGACATAGATGGTGTGGTATATAAGCATCTGAATTAGTATATAGCACACTGCCTCACCTTCTAATCGTTGTTGATTTGATCTCTGTATAATAAGTATATGAATATCTGTGTTTGTACTGATTAAAGTGTTATCTATGTATAATCAAAACTTACAAAGTTTTGATTATTTGTCCGCATGTTGTCTATTATAGTGCGTGCAATCTCTGTATGTAAATGGTATTTTGTGATAAATCTAATACTATTTATTATTGTTACTTTATTATCTTCTAATTAAAATATTAATAATAAGTTAATTCTGTTTTACAATTAAAACTGTATAAATTAGTACCGAAAAGAGCAAACTTGTTCTTATTTTGTAAATATTAACCATTCTTAATTACATGTAGTATTTTACAGGGAATAATTTATGTTATAATTTTAAAGTCTGTGTTCTTAAAAGTAATTTACAAGGTATAAGAAATTCTTGAAACAAGCCTTGAGTCGATATAATTTAAGGAGTTAACTAAGCCAGACGGAGGCTCTGTAGGATTACAGAGAATTTGGGGTCGACGAACTTTTCCCGTTTGGTCGATAGGGACAAGCGCTGAGACAATGATGATATCTCCGGATCCATATTAGATGAAATGTGAATACACCAACCTACCTACGTTTTTTCCAACTATGAATGCAAATGTACTGAACTTAATGTACCTATATAAAAAAAATATAAAAATTAAGTTAATAGTCGTATTTATTGGTCGTATTTGTTTCACACAAGTTTCACACTTTTTTAGTTCAAAGCATTTAAATGTAATCTTACCAACCTAGAATAATTTATTTTGTTTACTAAAATAATTTATTACATTATGTATTTCGTCTTATTCTAATAATAACTATTTACAGTAATTTCTGTTACATACAATATTATTCAAATTCGTGAAAACTCTAAACAGTTAAACTTTGAATTATAACAATTGCATAGTTTCTCAAATATCAACACTCAGTTACAACTCCCAGGTGTGATTTCGTTATACACTTTAATTGAAAAAACTAAAACACACGCTTTAATTATTAACAACTTCTGTACCTTTGTATAGAAACATTTCTTTCGATATAATTTGTATATAATATGATATATACAATTTATATACTTGTAAACGAAACTAAATTTAGGTATAGGTACTAAAAACCTGTTCAAAATCAAAGTTTTTTTATAAAAAATATCTAGTGTTATTACAGTTCCTTAAAGTCTAAGTATTTCTTATTCTGAGAAGTGTCAAATTTAACACTCTACTCACAAAATGTAATATTAACTAGTTGCATATTATGTAAATTTACACAAACACCAAACTTTACAGCGTTACGTCATTATGTGTTTAAATACTGTTAAAGAAACAGTGAGACACAATTCCCACAACGCCGTGTAATAACTAGGTATATATTTACTCATTAAAATTCGATACATCACAAATTGTTAACTGTACGGGGAGTACGTGAGTTCAGTGCGACAAGTATGCCGATTTACGAGTGCTAAATTTGTTTTTACATAACGGAGCACAAAACGCTTTTATACTTTTGTTTCGGTGCCAATAAAAACATACCGATATAATGGCCTATTGGTAATATACACTTGCACAGGTTTTTAACCTCCTATGTACAAGATAGATGTTGTTTATAAGTTTCGTACATTTTCCTAATCAGTTAATATTCTTGCTGTTAAATTTCGAATTAAAAGCCCTATCCAGCAATAAAAAATCATAAAAAAAAAATATGAAAAATACTCGCGTTGATGCCATAAAAGAAAACAAATGCAGTTTATTGTAAGGCGAAAATGATCTCAGTGAGGTAGAGTCAGGTGCATTTGTCGACTGTTGCCATTGTGATGAACATAACACTCGACAAACATAGATGGATATTGGATATATCAAAATCCAACTTGATGGGAGAGCCTATGCCGTCACCTAAATTAATTTGAAGAATTTAAACTTCAAAAAATTTCAAATTGATGTAGTAACGAGCCCGTGTCATAATAAAATACACTAAAAGTGTGTCATGAAATTAAAAGCTAAAAGAATTACGTCGAGTCGGTAGAATACAACACAAAAACAAACGTGCCGTGTACACGGAGACGCATAGACGCGCGTACGTACGGTACACGAATTTAATTTTTACTGATATCATTGAATACCAAAATTAAGTATATAATTTGACAAGACAATATACTTTAGTGGCCAATTAGAAACAAAGAAAAATTAAGAGCATTATATAAAATTCGCGTGATTGAAAAAAGTAGTTTTTGGACGCTTGGATACTATAAGCTGTGATTATTTATTGTTAAAGTGAGTACTATTTATTATCAGTTTTTAACAGTTGTCATAATCAGTTATTATCATCGAACATGTATTTTCTATAATTCTCTGGACTTTTATACCTAAAAATTATCTACATAAGTAGATAACTACTATTAATTTAATCAAAACATCATATCTTATATGTTTACCTGTATTTTATGTGATGAATTGAGCGCATTTAGATAAATCAATAAGTCAAAAGTGTCATAAAATTGCTGTAATGTATACAATACCTACCTACCTATATACCCAGCACAGCGAATTATATATAGATATTTTACCTTTTTATTTAGCAGTTACACGCAATATTAAGTTATATATAAAATCTGTTATCATGATCATCTGTTATATAAACCTATATAATAAAGTAGAAGGTGTTTTGTAATTCTTTCATGCCATTTTTTCCGTTTTACTACAAATTAATATTTATATATATATTATTAGTTTTATGAAATATTTTTACTGATTAATAAAATTTAAGCATTGCGAAAAGGTTCCTTTTAGACGAAATCTTCGAAACGTAAATGGGTCAAGGAGGATTTTCCACCCACTGCGCTAGATCAGTGACCTACTTGCGAAAAGTTTATATAACGCCAAAATGTACCTACGCCCTTCAAGCTTCTGTCAGGAAAGTACATTGTGTTTAATTCCTCAATGTCTTATAAAATTATTTAATTAAAAATTGTAATTACCTCGTCCCTTCACACAAACTAATATGCATAACTTATTTTTTCTTATTTAGTAAAAAAGTTTTTATGTTAAATGATTCTTTATTTTTTACAAATGGGAAAATTACAGGGTAAAGAAGCTCAATAACTTAGTCCTCAGAGATGGTTGATGGTCCCCAGAAATACATCATATAGTGGGGAAAGGGATTATTAGTAACGAGCACTAACGACCCATTGCTAGCAATATCAACCAAGTCATAATGACGTTAAGCCAACTGATCTGACTTTAACTACACCTTTCATCATTCATTGATACCCCTCCAGTATATACTGACAACACTCAGAGATTACCATTCCAATATCACCCATGGGAGTCATCGTATGTTCTGTGGTATTTATAATACTATTTATGTCTATAAACGTTAGTTATTACTTTCTATCAGTTGGGACATTAGCTTGTTTGCCATTTCAAATTGTATAAAAAAAGATTACAAAAAAACAATGACTTAAACATTAAACAATGTCATTTTGCATCAATGGTGTCGCCACATCAGCATTTATAACAAATGGCATTAATAAGTCTCATTCATATTTGATAAATTATTAAGGTTCGAATGATAAGTTAAATTGTTAAAGTAAAACGTTAAGTTATTGATATAATAATTATGCCCTGAGCCCTGTCCGCATGATCAGGACTTACTGATTGACCAGGTTAAAAAGTAATCTAGTCCATTTACAAACCAGAACGACGCATGATACTAAAAGAGTATTTGTAACCTACAAACTCAATACTAGGAAGAGGAATAGTTATTTCTGAACATTCGTGATATTACCGTTGTTGCCAAAAATATCAATCAACAATTTATTGAATCTTCCAGTGATTTTATTCATTTATTAGAATATAGCACTATTACATGTAACGGTAACTCGATGAACACAAAAATTAAGCAGAAGCGACTATTACCGACACACGACACGCGGCGCGAGTGGGATCTTGTTAGCCTATATTGATAATATTAACATGTTACTGTGATGTTACGTCGTTGCGTCATTTCATGTTCGGGTCGTCGTCAGTTCGTGGGCGTCGCATCACAGGTAGGGTTGTCAACGATGCTGTTTGATTTCTTACATGACTTTAATTACTTCAATGACATTTAATACACATACCATAATACATATCTTATTCCTTATAGGCAACCTATAAGATCACAGATTATATTATAATATTTACCACAATTTTAAAAACAAAAATCCATAATAACTCTCTCTTCACTTAATTACTCTTTAACAGATTTGTTTTATTTATTTTTATATGGAGTTTACTATTATTGTATTGTCTTATACCATTATAATGTTCAATTTTTTTATGAATATACCTATTTATTTTTAAACGATTTCAAAGCTCTATTCAACCCTATTTTTTCTATATAAATCTTACAAGATATCTTCGTCAATTCTGAACCACAATGATATCATTCTTTTTTGCAATCGATAAAATTTACTCCCATGTTATTCTAATATAAATTTTGTTACGATTAATGATATTGAAACGGAGGATCAAAATCTTAATTTATCCTACTCTAATTTAATCGTAGAAATTTCCAATTAACCCTCCAGTGAAATTTAACACTATACTGTAAATCTACTAAATCCGAAAAACGTAAGAGGACTTGGTCCTTCAAGAACTATCCCCTACGATGTTTTAATTAACGTATTCTTAATGAAAAGTTTAATATATATTACATATGATGGTATGCACATTTACCGCAATAGACTTTTTTTTCTTTTAATTTACTATTTCTATATAAATAGATAACACAAAATCACTAGTCGAATAGAGTGTACTATAGGTAACCATTATATTAGGTATTGTTAATTTATCAAACGATTACGAGATGTAGGCCAGGGCCGTCCAGCAAGTGCCCGCGCCATATTCTAACATATCGATAACATACAGAAAAAACATGTTGTATATAAAAGTAGCATTGACCTCTAATACCTGTCACCTATCATCATCGTCATCAGCCACTAACATTTTAGCTTTTGCCACTATATATAATTTGTATTTTTCTTAAAGATTAGTTTATATCAAATAATTGATTATAAAAAATTGTTAGTTCGTTACTTATTGGTGTCTAAACAGCTCGACATGAAATATGCAAATATATGAAATATAGAATGAAAAAGCACATACATAAGTTACTTTTATCCGGGTCGATCAATATATCCCGGTCCCGGTCACGCCAACGAAATTTCGGTCCGGGACATGAATGATATAGAATTATTGTACAATTAAAATTAATAGTCTGCAGGTAGACAAAGCCATAGTAGTCATATGTAAGTACGTAGGTATGCATGGTATGCAATAGAATCTGAAAAGAAAATATAATCTGGTGCATATTCCGTCTTTCACACAGTGTTCAGAAATTTATGCACTTTCTTATAATATTTTTTATTCATATTACTCATATTGCAATATTAATACAAGTAATTGTGAAATATTTAATTACCAACTAAACCCGCTGTTTGCACGCTCCAGTTTCATTTGGGTCACCCGTAAAGCAACGGGACTTTACTCTGATTACAGGATGTGTGCGTTTTGTAATGTTTGGTCTAGTTGACATCAAATAGATAATTTTACTTTACGTTAATACATAACATGCAAAACTGTAACAGTCAAAATTAAATCATTACAATAGATACGTTCCGCAGCTACTATGAATCTAGACTATAACTAATAAATACTTAAAAATGTAAAGGACAGGGATATTAATGATGGGTGTTTATAACCCCATTGCCAGTAATATATACCAGCAAGTTGATCTCGCGGTTTCCCTTGGAAAATATCGTGCTTAATTCCTGGAGAATTCGATACGAACACGATAGTCATTGTAAATAGTCGTTTATCCAACATGAATTGAGTTTATGTTGGGTTCACCTTATTTTAAACTTGTAAGCAATAAATGGAAACATAGGTGCTACATCAGTAAAATACAGTCATTTGAGTAAATATGATTGATGTCATTGACCGATTTAAATAAAAATATAATATGTTAAAACCCACGAACACTTCTGCTGTGTTCAGTAAACAATGAAAAGCCTATTGTTACAGTCACGCACGTAGAGAATGAATGGGTGTCATACGATACTTTTATAAGCGAGTCACCTAGGGCACTAACACCTAAGTTTTGTGCTCAAAGTAAAACAAATAAAGCAAAAAATACAAAATACAATTTAAGATATAAAAAAGTAAAGGATTCTTGTAGGCAAAACAGTAAAAAAGTTTACGAAACTAAATTTTACATCGACTTTATTCATCGAAATCTAAACTGAATGGTATTTAAAAATACCAATATTTCGTTAACACTTTCAAACCTCTAATCGATGAGCGAGTAAAGTTTGCGGCAAAAGTAACTGCGATTTTACTTACGGTTCTCTTTTACACGAAAGAGCCAAATAGTAAATAGTTAATTTCTTTAAATTTCAAGCATCATTTACAGAAATCGAACTTTGGTCCATTTACTAGGCCGGTTTCCGTTGAGCGAGCTTACAGTTACGAGTACTTGCTTCTCACGAACACCGCAGTATAGTACTTGCCTGTCAATCAGGGCCCTTTTAATTGCATGTTTGTGAGCAATACCAAATTAAACGACCTACAATTCAATTCGAAACAGCTAAATTTTTCCGTATAACTTTATTACAATTGGGAAATTGTGTGAGATATAATAGAAATTAGCTATACCTGTGACTTCGATCACATTAGCAGGGTTATTATTACTTAACTGATGAATAAGTAACTTTTGCTGAAGAATAAACTTATTAAAAAAAATATTAAAAAAAAAAATATTATAAAGTATATATATATAATATATATATATATATATATACATATATATATATATATATATATATATATATATATATATATATATATATATATATATATATATATATATATATATATATATATATATATCTAAATAAATTAAATATTGGAAACAATGTGACCGTAATGGTCACATTGTTTCCGGAACACAGTTACTTACTTTACTACTTTTACTCGCTCACAATTTAAATATTTAATCTTGATTAAATGTCAGATACGTTAATTTTTATCATATCTAAATAAATAAACACAAAATAACTTATTTTTTACTTTATATTTATTACAGAATGACTTCGCCAGCTATTACCAAATCTCCGGACAACCAGAAGGGGAACAAGAAGTCGCCTACACACTCGGCAGGCGGAGCAGAGCGAGCGCCCTCTCGCGCCGAGTCTGCTTCAGCCTCTACCTCAACCGCCACTTCGCAACAACCTGAACCATTCAGTTGGCTGCGAATCTTCAAACTCGCCGATCTCATGATGAAACAAGGATGTTAAAAATAATCTCTAGCTTCCAATTCTGTCGTTAACATATTTGTTTGTTTTCATTTTTTGTAGATAAATTAATAATTCAATTAGCAATAAAGCATAACAATACTTACTGCAAATAAGATTTAGAATTATAATAGAAAATAGTATGATCTAGTTGACAACAAAATGTTATTATAGCAGAGAAATTGTTAATGAGATTAAATAATAGATGAAATAACAGGCTATGTGCACAACTACGTGCCAGATAGTGTCCACTTTTCAGTTCCTAATGTATCTTAAATTCCGCCTTCCATTTTTTCTATTTATAATATCTACAGCACAATATAATGTGTTGCATATACAGGGTTTGTCGTAAAGTTTAACACCTTATACTTATGTATGTAAAAATCGGTGATTTTATTTTGTTATATTTTACCGAAATGATATGACCTTTTACGACTAACCTTATAAAAATTACAAGTCTTGAAAGAAATAGTACAATAATATTATCATTTTAACATGGTAAAATTTTTTAATAAACAAAAAGATGTTATTATTTTCTAATTATTTTAAATATTTCATTAGTTTATTAACTGCTTGAGTCTAAAAATTAATACTAATAATAAAAATATTATTATTATAAAAAAAATGTTGATTAAATACATTTAAATGTTATATACCTACGCCATAGGTACATAGTAACGAAGTGTTTAACTTGCTTCTTAAATTGAAAAAATTTCAAAACTGCTTAAGTCTTCTGGATGAATCCGTCACATGACTGCCCGACCTATCATCTTAGAAATTAGCTATTCTTTTTTAAATTTTATCATTGTTATTGTTAGTAGTTGTAGGTAGATCCATGAGTTATTATAGATTGTATTGTCCTCTTTCATTCGGCCTTTGTGTCTAATATAACTAACATAGCTAATCAAATTTCAACCTTTACACTCTGCATAGATACAATAAATTTTCTGAAAGTTGATATACTTTTTTTTTACATTTTGAAATTTTTTTATATTACTATTAGGGTCCTACAAAAAAAAAACAGTTACATAATTATATAAGTAGTACAATAAATGTATTAGTATCTTTCTAGCTGGACTATGATATTACGATTAAGTAATAAAAATCAATGAAGTGTATTTGTAATATGTTACAACTCCGTTCAATAATTAGAATTCTCAAAAAATATTATGGTACACATTATTTTCAAGATTGCTTACTGAAAGATTTTATTGTCACTTAATATTATAAAAAAAATGTTAAGTAGTTTTTAATGGTTCGAAAATTACACTGTATTTAAGACAAAAATAAAGTAATTAGGACTAGTAATTTTTTTTTTATTTTACAAACATTACGCTATTATCTATTATCTTGTGAAGATACCTCAGCAGATTATTCAAAGATATGTCTCTTCAAATAATTAATTACCGTAAATAAAAAGGTAAATTAAAAAATACAAACAAAGGACTATATTTCCATAGCTGACAAAGTTTACAGGCATTAAACAGACTGTAGTTCATTTGATACTTAACTGAACCGCATTTCATTTAATATTTGATACTTGACTGACAATATTTTAATTTTTTTTTTGTCTACGATCTTATTACTACAAATAATACTAAATTATCGAGAATCATCTCGAGACGTCAAGAATATAACGACCTTTCCCCACTTTCCCCTACTACATTTATGATAACACTTGGTATATCGTACATACCGTATTATATTATTATTCATAATCTAAGATGATAATAAATTTCCCTTATAAAGTTGATATAAAATATGTGTTGTGTCAATTGTACAGAATTGTAGAACTTTTTCTATTATACAAGCAAGGTCTGCAACTATAACCGTATTTAGTGCCTCAGAAACAATCTATAATTTACTAGTTTTTTCTACTTCTCTTGTTTTATTCTTCTCCTTTATAAATAGTGCATGTATAAATTTCATAATGTTTGGTTAAGCCGTTAAAGCGCTAAAGGTAGCAAACAAAACAACAATAGGGTCTTCTCTTTGCCCGCCAGATGATGTGTGGGTGGGTGAGGTAGGGGTCTCGGAGCTTACCCCATTACCCCGGCTTCTACTCCGGAGGCGACAACCTCCAGGTCGCTGGATTTGCAGCCGGCATACACTTGGTCTGTGTATGCCGGCGTGGTTAAACAAAAACAAACAATCAAACTTACTGGACTGACAATGCCTCTTATAGAACCAGTACCTTCGAAATTTCGCTTTATTCCCAGATGGCGTTGATCTTTATATATAATATACTATAAGCAGGCTAAATAGGGAATCAATTTAAAAAAAGTTATATAAGATAACAATTAAAAATAAAACTAAGATTTTTAATGCATTTTGTTACTCGAAAATTCTATTTATTTCTTAAATTGTAATTTTTCCTTTATTCTCATACCTTTCATGTCACTGTTACAATGTCAAGACAAACTGAAATGCTTAATTAACTAGATGGCGTTAAATCCAACAATATTTACGTAACTATAAACTTATGAATGAGAAAAATGGTCTATAATAATTTACGTCCATGATACTTATATACTATATATTATAGACGAAAAAATTAATAAATATGGTAGGTAGTAATATCACAAACAAAAAATTTCTTCCATGCTAAAACTAGGTATGTACCTAGTTATAATATGGATAGAAGTATTTTCGCTGCTGAATTGTATGTTTTTAATGAAACGAAAAAAGGATGAATGAATATAAAACTGTGCACTCGGTATGCTCAGCATCTACCTAAGAATTCCAAAACGCTCTAATAGTATATCATAAGCAAAGATTCATGATGTTAGCGCTCTTATACGTCCTATTTTGATACGGTTTGTACTTTATAAAGCTGACGTTAATCCTTAATGCATAATTTTTATCTAGCTAGATAAAAATACAACTACAGAATACATTGACCAAACTCACTTTCAAATCCTAATCCCTATTTCCTTCAAAGAATTTTAAAATATGTGAAGATGTTCTAATCTTAGTAGATTATATTATATATTTCGTTGTCATTTAAATATAATTCGTCCTGACTTATTACTGCCACTTATCTTAGACATTCAGATCGATGTCTCAACTTTGGATAACGAGTAATATCAACGCCTATGGATTGTGATGACAGATATATAAAATAAAAACACTTTTGTGTAATATTTTTTTAATAGTATTGGTAGGTAGGAGGTACATAACACGCAGGAGTCTGGGTTGTTTGGATAAAGGGAAGTAAAGATACAATACTATTTTCAGTATGTACAAAATATACAATTATCTCTATAACCTAGCTTTTAAAACTACAATATAATTATGATCACAATATTTTTATAACCTTACGCTCTGCTAATCAAAACCGAACGTCGGAAATCGGCGACGGGTCGTATCTGCTCGAGGTTGTTGCTTTATAACAGTCTAGCTCTCACTTTCACTTTTGCTGCACACTTGAGATCAAATGTTATTTTTACAAATATTAAAATTCTAACATCTCCCACGCCGGCAACAACCTTGGCCAGAGAAGGCACGCCTTTATGGCCATTCCATCCTCGTATCACCACTCGAGAATATAATTTGAGAACAGAATGACATATGTGTAATGTACAAAAACATTCGACGTCACAACACCCCCAATGAGCCTTGGGGGTGATTTAACTTGGAACGTTTTTCAAAATACTAAATTAACAAAACTATATTATACTTCTCACATTAGAATTGTTATATCTATTAAGTCTGCATTAATTAAAACTTTACTGAAAAAACAAACATAATTCTTTCTGAGGCTGACTTCAAGATTAAGGATGAAAAATTTATAAAAAGCATTTAAATTTAGTAATTGACATTTTAACAGCAATACAAAGATGCGATAATTTCTTTAGCACACGCATTTAGATTATTTTTACTTTTTAACTTATTTAGCTAAAAAGTTTATCACATCCCTGTTACAAAGGAAAACGAGTAAATACCAATTTTACCATAATACATACTTTTTTTTATAATTCTCATTTGTTACTTATCATATAAAGTTTTCAATATCAAGTCTAAATACTGTACTGCTATGTTTCACAAAGACAATTATTTACATCGAGTTCCTTCATAAGGAATCCAAATAAGAATAAATATAGTGTACATTTATTATCGGGCATCTGTTCGCTAATAAAATTATATTTTAAAATTAATGGACGAAGTGATGAGTTCGTTAGTGTTCCTCCTAGCCAAGTCAAGAACTGTTTGCGACGGAAACATGACAAACAATCTATATAATATTTATACACTCTACAGTTTTTATATCCTTAAAAAGAATGTTCATAATAATTATTACCTGTGCTATTTATTCTCTATATCGTACATATAAAAATTACAATACATAAAATATTTTGTACTTTGTTTTTACGTACGACAGAAGGGTCGCACCATTATCTAACTATACAATGTTATGTGAGATGCCGGTGAATCCGAATCGTCAGCAGCGAAATGCGTAGATACAGTAATAGCTCGCTTTGCATACGTTAATCGTTTAAATGACATGCAGACGATTAAAATTTATGAGAAGTACAATATTGTTAGTTTTAATATAATACATTATTGCTTTCCAGAAGTAATAAAAAAATAATAGTGTAAAAGGGATTTCGATAAGCGGTCAGAGGATATGTTATTGTGCAAATCGTTTTTTAAGTTTGATCATAAACTGCAAGCCATGAGGATGGACACTAAGAATATATTGATGCCACTTTGATATCGAATGAGGTAACGTTTGTTAAGATAGACATACAATTAGTATCAACAAGAAATGGGTGGGCATATTTATTTGACATAGAGAGCAAATAAGACATCACAGTCTTAAAAAGGCATACCATTACAGGCAAAGAAATTAAATTGAAATGACTTATGTTTAATGCGTATAATGCATAAGTATGATTTTGGTTCAATGAACTTATAATAAAATACATAATCCTCATATACTTTATACCTTGTAACAGTAATAACAAAATTTTGTAGAATAGCGTTTTCTGTTATATGGTGAGTATAATAGACATACACCAAACAAGAGAAAACACTAAAAATTCACACAACTTTTCCATTTCATACCAAATTATATTACTCTGATTGGTTACAAAGTACAAAATAATCTATTACAACAACGATAATTCCCGATAAAATGTTATCAATAGACCATAAAAATTATAAATAAAAATAATTGTTTCAAGTTTTATGAGCGGTTATCTGTATTACATCAAAAAATAGTAAATATAAATTTATGGATTCATATGATTAGTCAGCAGCAGAAAGTTGTCACATCGTTACCCTTACCAAAGTGTCATCTTAACATATTCTTACACATAGTTATCCATCATTTTCAACCCGAAACTGCAGTATTAAGAACGACGCAGCTCGTTCCATTTACAAAACAGTCAGTGCACACTGCACTCACACAGTTCGAATTAAAACATAGAGAATAGGAAATGAAAACGCAATATAACCACAATTATCGGACAATGGCATAGACGCACAGCGTGTACTGCCCTTAATGTTTTATAAGACTAACTACAGTCTATTATATTAAAAAGTCAGAATCACAGTTTATTTTCATGTTATTCTTACTGTAATTACATGCATCATCAAACTATTATATTTGTTACATAATCATTCGACCCAGTATTTATGAGTTTTCCATTACCTACCGTAATGATCTAAGCGAAATAAATCAAATTTAGTATCAATAGATTCAATATTTACAGAATTTAAATTACTTTAGACCTAGTTGCTTAAAACAAAATAACAATTTACACTAACAATAAAAAATGCTCGATAGATTGTCACTCATCTAATCGGATCCCAAAATTAAAAATATTTTTATCAACTGACTTTGCCATTTATTATTCATACTTTTATAAATTTAAACTCCGAATAACGTCGAACCCAGTCGACTATAACAAAAGTATTTTACAAATAAGCTATGACTTATATCTAGCACTTAAATAAGTGACGGCTTATCTAGTTACATGAGACTTTATACAAGTGCGCGACACGCCGCCGTCGCAGTTGCGACATGTCGCGCGATAACAATAAATAAAATTAACGTTACATCACTACGACGAGAGTTCAGTTTCACAGAGGTATTCCATCTCAATTCCTACGAACATTATCATCCATGAAAATCAATTGTATACGCAGCGATTGTTTCACAATTCTACCAGGTCGACCGATAGATAAAATAAAAAAAAAGACAAATTTTTAAAAAAGATTCACAACCTGGCCATATTTACAATGCATTATTATTATTATTATTAATCGTCTAAGCGTCCTTTTCGGCAAATTTGGTGTCACGTTTATCTAATCAGGAATACTCACATAGCGTCTGTTTCAAATTAATCCACTGAGAAGGGTGATCGATCATAGAATATAGACAATGAGTGTAATAGTGCAACCATAGTAATGGGCGTCGCTCACGTGTCATCATGCGGCGGTACAGTGTGGGCGCGCGGCTCAAACAGTGGCTATAACGATGAGCAAATGCGCAATGTCGGCGACGCGGTGCATCAGGTCTGGTGCGATGCGATTAAGATTCTCGTTCGCGAAGTCGCACGACGGGAAGATGTGCACCGTGAACATGGCCTACGATAAATAATGCATTATGTTATCTAAGTAACCAGCTATTATAGCTAGATGGATATCTTCTGCTACATTATTTTATACTAAATTATAATAAAATATTAAATTATGTCCTGAGACATACCAAGGAGTCAAGGGAACATACACTTTCTGTGTATTTATATTTTTTATGACGTATTTGTACTATATAATTCATTATATTTGGCATAATCTCTAAGTTTGTTTTAATATCAATATAGCAATAATAATATCAAGTGATCAGATTACCTGTTGATGTCCGGGTGGCGCTACGTTGACTATGCCAGCAGCCTGTTTACGCTGCAAGTATGTGATAAAGCCCGCAGTCAAGTTGGTCGACTGCTGAAGAACGTCCATATGATCGCGACCACACGGCAGCGCTAGTAGCATACAGTGTTCGCTTTCCATCTGTAAATGAATCACAATTCAACTAATTATTTTTAATATACAAGATTAATTAGAGGAATTAGTAAACAGAGTGGAGTGTACGCAATTGTCAGCCTGTCTTCATTTATTTTTTATTTTAGTACTTCTCGAAGATTATATCCATATAATTCAATAGCTTAATATTAAATTAATATAAAATTATCTTTTAAACATGTACATTTAGTCTTAATAATAGAACGTATAAATCCATAAATAAACTGAGGGATAGATGGCAGAAAGCAGGGTATCTTAATTTTTGTATAAACGTATTAACCAGAATAAGTTTTTGTAAAGCAAAAGTCAGACATTCCATTATTATATGTTGCGTTGTGTGCCCGATAGTGAGAGTGCGTATATAGAGGTAGACAAACCTGCATCTTGCGGTGCACCTGGTCGAGCTGCGTGGGTTCGAGGCGCATTCGCTGCGCAATGCGTAGCAGCGGCGTGGAGCCGTCGGCGTGACGGGGAAGCGTGTCACCCGCGACGCCGGGATTGCCGCCAACGAAATGCATCTGAACGGCGGCCGAGTCGTTCTTTAACGCCAGCAGCCCTTGCCACATCACCGGATACCGCTGTGCACACAACACAATATCCATGTCACATCACCATCAAAGAGAACCATAATTAGCAATTAATATTAATTTGCATAAAATACACATTAACAACTGGTGTACATTAATTATAAATCTAATGCCTAAAGCTTGATATTGATTTGTATGACCAGTGGCGTAAGGATAAGGTGGTAGAACATACATAATGCCACGCGCTCCCGACCCAAGAAAGCCGGTGGTAAAACGAGCGAAATGTCACGGGCAGGGGGAAAAGGATTGTTAGTTATGAGATTTAACTGCCCCATTGCTAGCAATACACCCTGTATTGCTAGCAATGGGGCTGTTAAATGGGGTTGATCAGTCAGGTTGATCTCCACGCGGTTCCTCTTGGAAACCATAGTGTGATTAATTTTTCCAATTGGTCACTATGGGCCAACTGACCTGCCTTCATTCTCATCCTCATCCGCACCCTTCACTGGTACCTCGCCAGTGTATACCAATAGCGCAAGCGGGGTTACCATTTCATCTTTACTCATTAAAAAAATTTCACGAGCTCCCGACCTGACTCTGATTCGAAAAGCCGTGAGCACAGGAAGAATCTAATATTTATTATATAAATAAGCATAAAAGAATCTTTAATTACTTTAAGAATTAGAGTATTAATACAAATTATACAAATAAACTATTATAAAGTAGAAGAAAAGCTACGCAACTCGTATATAGATAAGATGGCCCTATCCAATCAATTAACGCCACTGTTTATGACAATTGTTAAATTCTAATTGATTACTGATATAATGCATTCAACATTGCCTATAAAGAACAAATTAAGGTCTTTTTAATATAGTTACATCTTTAGGCTGATGTATGTATATAGGAAAACTGAAGAAAAAACAAAATAGAACTTATGAAGGTAAAAGTTTGCGAAGCTGTTTGTGTGCATTTGCATATTCACAGTTGAACAGATGTATCAAGGAGCACATAAGTGTACTAAGATAAGGGCTAGTTACCCGCAGCAGCATCTGCAGGCTGTCGGCCTCGCGCGGCACCTGCGAGGCGTGCGGCGGCCCGGGCGCGGCTGGCGGCGGCAGCGCGGCGGCCAGGCGCGACGTGCCGTGCGCGGGCGGCGGTGAGCGCGGCGAACGCCCGCACCCCACCGCATACACTGCGCACACGCACAAACACCTTTATTTATACACCGGATTTTACCCACGACGTCGTTCGCTCATGGCCTTCTACATACCATATAGTACAAGGTTTACCAAATTTCATAGTGATCAATTAAACCATTAGGGTAATAAACTAACTCATTTTCATATTTATGCTACTAATAAGGGTTACAACTATCTATTACCCGTACTTTCGTTTGAATTTTAAAACTATCATAATACTAGACTACTCACTAACTCAGTGTTTGTGGGGGGAAAGGGATTGTTAGTAATGGAGAATGAGAATCCCATTACTAGCAATATACACCCATCCAGGTCGACCCCCTCACGGTTCCCCCTCGAAACTATCATGGTTAATTCCTAATGAATTTATCATGATGGGCTAACTGGCCTGTTTTCATTCTCATCTATCACCCTTCACTGGTGCTCCGCCAGCGTATCCCGTTATCGCAGGCGGGGTTACCATGCAATTTTCACCCATAAAAAAAAAACTCAGTGTTTGTAATGTACTCGTATGCAATATACAGTCGTGGCCGTATAATTAGAAACACTATCAACAGTCCTTGACATTATGTAAGATATTTCCCCGCAATTGTTTTTATTTGGAAATTAAACAATAAATAAGACAACAATATGTTCAACAATTTATCATTTATTAGAAAAACAATATAAATCCCACTACACAAGTGCACAAGCCGGAAAAACACCCCCAAACTTTAATGTTACCGCCACCGTACTTGATTATACTCCTTGTATATTTATAATTAAAAACATTGTTTACAGGACGTCTAAGATAGCGCTTTACATCAGAATTTACCATATTTTTTTTTTCATCTGAAAATAACACTTTTTCCATTCTCGTACCGTCCAATTAACATATTTTTTAGCGAATAATAATCGCTTCTCTCGATGTTGCTTGGTAAGAAGCGGTACCTTTCGAGAGGTTCTTCCAAACAATTTAGCTTCCACTAATCTTCGGCGTATCAGTCTTGACAAGATATTTCTCGGATCATCAGGCAAAAAAGCTTCATTTTTAATCTGGTTGGAGTCTTTTAATGGGTCTTTTTTAGCAACACGAACGATTAGTGTATCTTCTATAGAAGAGATTTTTCTTGGGCGAGCCTTTCTAAGAACATTTTCAATAGTTCCATGTGTTTTATAATGATCAATTTCATTAAAAACTTTTTTAACAGAACAATTTAAATGCTCAGCTATTCTTCTGTACACCCACTTATGATCTATGTGTAAATTAACAATTATTTGTCTAGTTGACGCGTCACAACTTTTATTTTTGCCCATTTTGAACAAAATAAAATTCAGATTAAATTTTGAATTACTGCCAAAATAATAGAAAAAGCCAAGAAAGAAATATTATAGATGCCTTTTTAAACTGTTTCTAATTAGGCGTCCAAGCGGCCAGTAACAGAAAATAAACTGCTACATGTGAAAGACTCATTTTGTAATTAAAAGTAAGATATGTTTTATATTTTATGCATTGAATGAGTTTTTTATTTGAGTGGCTATATTATTACATGATTATTAATTATTGAATGTATATATTTTTTACGTGTATTGTACTCAATATAGATACATGGATTTAATATATAAAAGGCCAAAGTTAATTAGAAATACAATTTTTTATTCTCCATTTTTATGACAATTTTATTTATTCTTTATTTGAAATTAAAAAATATAATAAAAAGTTTTTATGCTAGTATTAATTTTTGTTGGAGTTTCCAACATGCTCGCCACACCAGCGGTTTATTAGTGGATAAATTACCAGAACAGTAACTTGTGCTACACAACATATAACATATAACAGAAAATGTCTTTACTTCATACTAATACAACTTGCATAAACATAACAGAACCATAAAAATATTACAGTTGATGGTTATATTAGTAAATCCAATATTGTGGGTGATGCCCAATTACATTACAATAAGTATAACAATAACAAATTGTATAAATAACTAAACAATTGCAAATAACATATTCTTACTTCTCTTTATCGTTATACATTAAAAGAACAAGAAAAATAAAGTAGTTTAAAATGAGCAAATAATAATTAAATCTAGGCATCATTTATAGGAAGAATACATATACCAGATAAGGAACGCTTAAAAGTTTTACCATTAGGTGTTATAACTTCGAAAGCTCTAACCTTCCCATCTCTACCTGGAAAAACCTTACTTATTCTAGCCATAGGCCAGTGCAAAGGAGAATTGTTTGGGTCCTTGAGTATCACCAACATTCCTACTGTTACATTAGGATAACCTTCTTGCCATTTGGATCTAAACTGCAAAGCATTTAAATAGTACTTATGCCATATTTTCCAAAAACATTGTTTTAAATGTTCACATTGTTTCCAAAAACTTAGTCTATTAATAGGTAAATCTGATACATCATTTTCAGGATAAGCTACAATAGCATTGCCAGTCAACAAATGACCGGGAGATAGATAACTAAAATCCGTTATATCAGTATTCAACCAACCTAAAACAATCTTAGAATCAGTAAAAAGATAAACATTATCAATTGAAAGTTTGAGCTGTAACATTTCATATGTCCTCCGTACTAGACTTGATAGCAATAAGGCCGCATTCAACTCTAACCGTGGTATTGTTATTGGTTTCGAAAACGGATTAATTCTGGACTTCGCACACAAAAGAAACATGTGTACATTACAATCAGATTCTACCGTTCTAAGGTATACACAGCATCTGTAGCCTATTTCACTTGAGGCATCAGCAAAGCCGATCAATTGCACAGCCTTAGAACCTAATGGAATTGGTATATTTCTATTAATATGAATAGGTTCCATTGCCTTGAGACCGTCAATAAAAAACAACCATTCTTCTTTAACATGATCGGAGGGAGAAGCATCCCAACTAATACCTTCAGCCCACAGTTTCTGCATAATAATCTTAGCCTTTACTATAATTGGACACACAAAGCCAAGTGGATCATAAAACTTAGCAATACAGCTTAAAATTGACTTTTTTGTTACCGATTTTATATCAATAGTTTCTGGGCATGTGATATTAAACCAATCATTCTTTACATCTAGATTTAAACCTAATACTTTTATGCTATAATTATCCTTTTGCAACTCTAGCTCGTCAAAATGTTGTTTACTAATTGGAACATCAGACAAAATTTCTGGATCATTAGCTGACCATTTATGTGTTTCAAAACTTCCTTTTTGTAGCAAAGATTGCAGTTGTTGTTTAGCTTCTTTTATTTCACTAAGATCTGATGACGAATAGAGGATATCATCGACATAAGTACAGTTTCGCAATATAAATGAAGCTATAGGAAATTCTTGACTAAATAGTTTAGTAAGTTCGAGTAAACAACGAGTTGATAAATAACTTGAACTTTTCATACCGTACGTAACAGTATTTAAACGTATACATTTTATTGCCTCATCAGGATTATTTCGCCAAAGAATATTTTGAAGAGCCCTGTGTTTGGGATTCACCAGAATATTCCTAAACATACGCCTTATATCAGTAGAAAACGTATATTTACCAAATCGGAACAATAAAATTACATCAAAAAGCTCTTTCTGGACTGAAGGTCCATTCAGTAATAAATCGTTTAATGAAACTTTTTTATCCGTCTTCATTGAGGCATCAAAAACGACTCTTGTACGAGTAGTTTTACTCGATTCATTAATGACCGCATGATGCGGTAAAAAATATACAGCATCTTTGTCAAAATCATAGAAATCAAAGTTAATAAAATCGCCATGACCTAGCTCTACATATTCATGAATAAATTTATTATATTCTGACAATAGATTGATATTCTTTTGTAAGCACCTTTCCAAACTTAAAAATCGATGCCAAGCTAATACAAAAGAATTACCCAAGTAATTATGAATTTCATTATCCTCAACTTTAAGAGGTAAATTCACCTGGAATCTATCGTCAATCAATTCTACAGAATTCTGAAAGATAGTTTCAGCTAACTCTTGTTCACTTTGATCCTCAGAAAAGGTTTGTGGTACACTCTCAGCTTCCCAAAATGATTTGATATTATCATTGATTTCAGGATCGCATTTAATACATAATAGTGATGTTACCTGTTTTGAAGCTTGCTGATATTCAAGCATTGAACCACCAATAATATATCCAAAACGTGTATTAATAATGCAGGGCGTAATGTCATCTTGACTAGGTAGCGGCCGGTGCAGATTTCGAGACCGCGGTCGCTCAGGCTCATTGGGCATTATCACATGGAAAAATATGTCAGCACCCATTAAGAGATTTATTTCAGATGGAACATCAAATTGATCATCTGCCAACACTATATTGGGAGGTAACTTCAATTGCCGAATATCAAGTTTTGTTTGTGGATGCTTGCAGGTAATTATTTCGACCACATAAAAATTGGCAGTCATATTAAAAGAAGAATTCACAGAGTGTATGTTTAATGGAATACAATATCTTATATTATTCTGAGCATTGCCTACACCTATTATATTTGTATTGTTGGGTGTTGGAGTTTTTGCTGGATTGGCTTGCCCAATTGCTGGATTAACTTGCTCGTAGCGAGGGAGGCTTGTGAACCTGTATCTAAAATCGCCTTCACTATTATCGTCTTTTTATCCTTTGTGAATAATTTCACTTGTACTGTGGGAAGCAAAACCTTAGAATCGTGGCCCTTGGATAATAAGGAAACAAGACCTTCGTCACATTCGTCATGATGAACTAGTGAGTTGTGTGCCTTTTTGCACTGATCGCATTTGAAATGAAATTTGCATTTTCCATTGTGCTTATTCAAACAAATCAGACATAACTTATTGTCTTTACAGAATTTATAGCGTTCCACAGAAGTTAATAATTTGAATGTATTACAGGAAAATAATTTATGATTGTTGGACTTACATTAATGACACGTCACCGCCTTCTCACCAGCAGCCGCTACGTTGATTGATAAACCCTTGGCTTTTGTAGATGACATCGCAGTTGACGGCGCAGCGTTCTCCAATGCAAGTGCCCTCTTCTCAAGATACTCGATGAAGTGCTTGACGCTGTGTTCCTCGGCAGTATCTCTTTCCATTTGATACGACCGAGCCGTGTATGTATCTAACTTACGATTAAGAATACAAACAATTATTGGATCCCAAGTTTCAACCTTCACATCTAAGTTTTGCAGAGCAGCCAAAGTCTGCTTAAGACTCGCTACAAAATTTCAAATGTTTTCAGGGGTTGATTTGACAAGCGCAGGTAAGTCTAGTAATTGACCAATATGTTCATTTACAATACGATACCTATTGTTATATCTCTCCTCCAATAATTGTCTAGCTTGATCATAGCTACTGGCTGTTAATGGTAAGTTCTTAATAAGATCATACGGTTCGTTTTTTAAATAAGACCTAAGATAATACAACTTCTGAACATTATCTAATGTTAAGTCATTATGAATCAATGAAGTAAACAATGATTGAAACGCTACATATTCAACATAATTACCAGAAAATATGGACATTTGAATCGCGGGCAACTTAGTTTTTGATCGTGCAATAGTACTAACATGACCTTTAGAGTCCTCTACACTATAAGTCTTACGGCTAATCATTTCATTAAAAACGGTAAGAGTATATAGATATTTATCTTCAACAGCTGCTACGTCCTCATCATCATCTGGTCGCATTGAAAGAATCCGCATATTAAATCCTTCATATTCACGGAAGGCTGTGAGCAGTCTTTCTTTACGCGTTGTAAGGGCCTGTAAGGTACTTTCTTCTAATTCAGACTCGTTGCTAACAAAACTGTGAAGACGAGTAATCGCCCCTTTAACATAGCCTCGCGAGGCGCGTAGTGAAGTTTCACTATCAGTGGCCATTGCACGGCGATTGCCACCAAATTAAAATATGTAGATGTAATGGAAAATGTTCAAATGTATTTATTGAATATAAAATTCGTAGTTCCCACCTCGTGTCATGAATGAATTTGCCGTTGTTCGATGTATATTTTTCTTGCAGGCCAACTGAGATAATCGTTTGTCGTCGTCTATATAAATCTCTTAATTGACAACTAAAGAAATTGTAGTTACCACTCGGAGAAATATATAATATTTACTTGCAGACTTCAACAAAATTGCAATCGCCTGTCGAACGCACGGAGGAGAATAGATTTCATATATGTTGTATTCTTGAAACAATGGCGCTTCTCGTATCCACGTATATTGAACTGAGATTTTTTGTAATTCGCTGTTGATTGCCTTACATGGATTTAATATATAAAAGGCCAAAGTTAATTAGAAATACAATTTTTTATTCTCCATTTTTATGACAATTTTATTTATTCTTTATTTGAAATTAAAAAATATAATAAAAAGTTTTTATGCTAGTATTAATTTTTGTTGGAGTTTCCAACATTACGAACATTTGTACGTTTAAGTTATACTTTCTTTATTCATAAGAAGTGTTTCAACAACAATACAAATACAACATAGAAGTGTTTCCATAAACAATATATGACCACCACTGTATGTATGTATGATTTATTGATATATAATTATAATAACGTGACAGATATGTACGTGTGTATGTATATAATTATAATAAAATAACCATGAATGAAACTCACTGATATGGCGATCCGCTGGTGATGGCGAATGCGCTGGACGCGGAACGCGCGCCGACGGCGGCCTCCGCAGCTCCAACGGCGGTGTCGGCGCCTCTGAGCCCTCCGCTTCCAGGCTTCTACACAACACACAGTTTGTTAATGACATGTGATATGTTATAAGCCTTTTACAATTTTTAACAAAAACTTATTAAACCTGAGACTGAAGCTGGAATTAGTCAATGTTGAAACCGAGACTAATGTTACAAAAGCCGTACCAACAAGGGACCCTACGATATAATACTAATTTTATTCACCAGCATATACCGACAGCACAGGAAAACCATTCCACTGTCATTAAAAAAAATTATCAATCTTAAACCATGTCGTAAATATCAAATACAGAAATCATTAATTTACTTGCAATCTGGATAATACTTAGTGGATAATAGGTCATAAACGATTCCTATAATCGAAATTTTTAGTTTCTAATTTCATTAATTTAATCAATAGATCTGTCAATCGACTAGAACAAGTATTCGTATATATGTACAAGATGATTTTTCATTAACAGTTTCTACATCAAATTTTCATGTGCTAAATAGAAATGTTTAATAATATTCGAATACTTTCGTCATAAATTACCTGGTATAAGGTGAAGGAGTGGTACGATTCTCATGTTGTGTAGCGCGGAAATGTTGTTGATACATCTGATAGTGTTGATGTGAAAAATGTGGATACATCCCTTCGCCCTGTCAATAAAAATTAAAATAAATAACACCCACAAAATAAAATACCAAATGCAATTTATGATATGTTTTACACATAGTTTTTTTTTTCTTTTTTATATTTATGTAAATTAGAATGGCAAACAAGCTGTCGGCCCACCTGATACAAAGTGGTAACCGTCGCCTATAGACAACGAGTATGCTTTTTCACCCATGACACTTCCCATGCGTTGCCATTCCTGAGGACTAAGTTGTTATACCTCTGTACCCTGTAAATTCACTGCCATATCTCACCCTTCAAATTGAAACACAGCCATGCAAATACAACTGCATCACGGTTAGGACACACGAATGGGACAAAGATATCTAAGCAAACGACTTTTGTAAAAAGTCTTCCTATGGTCTCGAAGAAATCCTGGATGAGATTAAAATCTACAATATATAATAAATCACAAATACATAAAATGTAAAAATAAAAACAATAATTACATTATGGTATACCGAGGTGATAGGAGAAGTCTGTTGATGTGCTGGCGGGGGACTTCTAACTAAATCCGCAGACTATCCAGGACAGCATGAACAGAATGACAATTTATAAACGTATAATTTGAATAATATATTGCTAATTGTAGCACATTTATGTAATTTATTTAACTCACCAATGCCATTTGACCTTGCGGACTGATGTTCGGAACACTCGTAAGTGTAACACGAGATGCGGAACCTAGAACCAAAATATAATTCTATAAATATTTTTATCATTTATTCATCATGCTGCTGCACTAGCAACAAAAGGTCTATGTGTTAATTTGAATAGATTATGTAATAATTTTTACCTATATTAAGTTAGTTTAAGTATTACATTCTCAATTTCCTAAATGTTAAAAAAAGGGAGAGAATGCCATGAAGTACCCCTTTTGTATTATATATTTTTTTATTGGAAAATGTAAACAAAGAATAAATAAGTACATTTTCTTCTGAGTACCCCTCCCTCCAATCCTCCTTATGCTTAGCTTATGTTGTACATTATGTTGTAAATCATAATCAACATATCAACCGATAACTCTCCCCTGTTTAATATTTTCTCTATCCTCCTATTGAGGGGTTTTACCAATAATTGCCACACGTGGAAGGCGGATTGGCAACCGCAGTTAGGCTTTGATGATATTTAACGGTAGAAACGCTGCCGCCCATCCCTCGACCATTAAGTTCCCTTGGTTGCCTCTTACGACACCCGGGGTCATACCGAGAACACACGGCGATGTAGTATGTACTGTACATTATTAATATTTCCACGTCGTACAGCCTGACAACTCATACACGTATGAGTTGTCATATTGTACGATGCAGTTACTCCTACTGGTAGGGAAGGTCGCCCTACACTCTTTATGATATTTTTTTTTCATATGAATATAGTTATCGACAATTTTTTTAATGTTGAAAATAAAATATGGTAGTTGTAAAACATTTTTGCGGAGGATAGGTACCATATTTAGGTATAAACCAAAGAGGTTTAGGTATTTATCCATGTAGCATATAAGATATGAAAAATAGAAGTTAGTACTTCTACAAGTAGAGGGTCGGTCAAGTTAGTCTAAGTTGTTCAACACAAAATCGCCATTTATAATTTATACACATTACATTATAACGGATTTTATTATTTATGTAAGAAAAAAGTACTTAAATGAGTATAAATTTGTAGCAACCATATTTGAGTAAGAGGAAATAGTGTAACATTCTGTCGTCATCGATGCACTTTACAATGAAAAGTGCATCGATGCATGCATTACTTATTCCCATAACTCATATATATGTAATCTGATCATATTGCACTACTTTTCTGGGCAGTCGTATAATAAATAAAGCAGTACGTAACATCTTACCAGGATGCTGATGGTGGTGCGGTCCGACGACGGCGACCTGCTTGATGTGGTGGTGCGAGTGCGAGTGCGGGTGCGGCGGCAGCGAGGGATGTGGCGGGTGCGGCGGATGCGTGGGCGGGTGGTGCGCGCCGCGCGGCAGACTGGCCGCGTCCGCGTAGGCGGCGCGGAAGCGAGCCGCGCCCGCGCCCGCGCCCGCTGCCAGGCCGGCGGCGGCCGCGCCCGCGCCCGGGCCCGGGTCGGCGCCGCCGCCCGCCGCGCCCGCGCCCCCCGCGCCGCCCGCGACGCCCGCGCCACCCGTCGCTGCGCTGCCACCGCTGCCCGCTCCGCCCACCATCGGGCCATCGCTCTCTCCTCCCCTGAGCGACAAATTTTACAATCTACTAGCTGATCAAAACATATCGTTGCTGAAGCTTTTGGGACAGCAACCCGTCTGTCTGACGTCAATATTTGAAAGAAATGTTTATATTGGTAGCTAGGAACAGTTTATATGGGGAAAATATAAAGCCCTTAAGTTTATCCTGACAATTTCTTCGAGATTTCTGTTCAAAAATACCCTTCTCGAAAAAAAATTGCCAAATTGATCGAGCCGTTCTCAAGTTTTGCACTTAACAATATATTCAACTGTTCATTTTTAATTATATAAATGGAAAAAACTGTTAACAGTAAACGACCAATCTAGGAACAAGCAATAAATATTGGCCAATCTACGAATATAAATCTCACTTATCATCCCTATCGCGTACCATACCAGCATAAACAAGTAGAGCAGGCGAAGTTACCATCATCGATATCCATTACGCTAATAAATGGCTGAAGGGATTAAAATGTACTTTGATATACTATACAAGTGGACGACTTACGATATATACATACAATACTTTTACCCTAATTTATCAAGTAATCCCATTAATTACAAATTTGAAAGTTTTCAAAGATATTTGAACATATCATCTCAACCATGCTTAAACAGCAGCTGATTAAATATTTTCAAGAGTGTTCAAAATATAACAGTATTTACTGAAATAATTCAGTAAGGGGACCGATCGTGTTCTACAAACATTTTTTCTTTTGTTTTTACCTTATAAGAACAGGCGTAGCTCGGTCGGCAGGACGGTGACTCGAAGGTGGACGATGAGGCAGTGCTGGCGACTGTACTCGCGCATCTGTCGCCTCAGTGCCTACTGGCATCATAGAGCCCGGGACACTGTCGACTAGGCGACGCGCAAATCTGACCTCATTCACCTGCGGCTCTGCCCGCACTGCACTGATACCAATACCAGCAGCTGTCGGCACTATGTCGGAAGTCGCTGGTGTCGCTGCGGCTGGCTCATGAATCCTAGGATCGCGTGATACAGGTGATTGTTTTTCAACCTCTTGAGGCACGCGATCCACCAAATTCTGCATCGTCGTAGTGGTCCGTGGGGGGCGGCAGTTGCAGCGGCTTCGAATGCGCTGGCCAATTTGGCACTGATCTCTGATATCATTTTTTTAGGAGGTTTCATAATAGGAGTTGAAGTAATCGTCGGTTGAACAACGACAGCATGTGCTGAAGTTTTAGGTGGTGAATCAGGTTCAATTTTAGCAGCAACTGCTTGTTCCGCCAATTTGGGTATTTTTATTTCCTTTACAATGTCTTCTTTTTTATTAATTTTCTCATCCCCGCTGTCAATAGAAGCATCAGAGAGACTTCTATCCCGAGTCCTCTTAACACCTCGGGGAGATTTTCGAGTATCCGTTCCGGATTTTTCTTGATTTGCTTTAAGAGCTGTTTGTCTAGCAGGTCTTTTTTTAGAAGTTTTAGTAGTAGGCGTCGTCGAACCTTTAATAACATCGTCTATAATTTCATCAACAGTACTTCGTTGTACATCTTTTTCTTGAAGTCGTCTTGATTTCCGTGTGTTTGGCGAAGGCGAGACAAAATCTTCCATCTTTTCTTCTTTTGTTGCCTTTTCATTAATTTTGCTTTGATCTTTTTGTATACTAAGTGAAGACGTAGCTATAGCATTGGAATGCCCCGATTGAGGACTTTTTATAGTTAAAATTAATCTGGGTCTGGTTTCAGATTTATTAGGTGACGTAGCTGTTTCGTCACCAGAGTCCTCATGAAAATCATAAACATCTCCTGGCATATTATTAGAGCTATTATTAATGAAGTTCTTGATTTTTTTATCAACTTTGGCTCTTCCTCTTCCTCGTTTAGTAGATGCACCTCTGGCTGGCTTAGATATCTGTCTTGTTTGTACTCTATCTTGATTCTTTTCCGATTTCTTTCCTCTTGTACTTCGACCTCCTCGTTTACTAGGAGTAGTGTTCTTTCCTATATTTAATTCTTGTGTAGTGTTATCATTCCTATTTTCAATTTGTGTATCTAATGTCCTGTTATCAGCATCTATAGTCAATTTATCAGAAATACTAGATTCCTTTAAATCATTGTCTTTTATTACATCTTTTGGTTCTAAATCTATTTCTTTATTGTTGCTCGACGTTTCAGTATTTTCATTATTATTTTCATTACACAAAGAATCGACCTTTTTAATTACAGAGTCTATATTAATATCCTTAGCACTCCAAGAATCATTTTCGTCTAAATTTTTTATTTGATCTTCAGACTGTTTCGATAAAAGATTTAAAAAAGCATTTTCTTCGGGGTTCACTCCTGTATCAAGGTCTGGTGACATTTTACCTTCACTTGATATATTATTGACAATTATACCAATCGGATTAATGTTATTCGAAACCTCAAGTTTAGGTTCAAATTTCTCAGGAGAAGTATCTAAATTTTCCTTTTCTAAAATAGGTGAATCTTTCTTATCTGGTTCATTTTTAAGTGACTCTATTTCGTTATCTAAACCCAATTTCTTTTTATTTTCTTCAGAAGATGACTTTAATTCTACATTGTCATTTTTAGAACACTCTACACTCTGTTTCCTTTCCCGAATTGAAGTACCAGCAGCAAACAATGTGACAGTTTTTCCTACATTAACCTCAAGTTTTTTCTCAGGATCGTTAGTTACTTTTATTTCATTGGTGTTGTCCTTTAATAATTCCTCAAAATCAGTCTCACACTTCGCAATGTTTTCTACAGGCGATGGAGATTTAACATGAGATACAAACTGTTCTTTTTGTTGATCTATAGAATCAATTAGAGGCATTTTACTAGTATTTGATTTGTCGTCTACTTTTAAATCACTATCTCGTGTCAAATGATTTTGTAGCGACCCAGATAGATGGATTTCATTTTGTTCAGTTTCGTTTTTGGTGTTTACTCTGACTGTTCCTGAAGTAGTACTTGTTTTTAATAGTAATGGAGTCATTACTACATTTGTAAGACTAGTAGTCGTAACAGCTGCAGAGGTAGAAGAGTCCAATTTTGTTAAAACAGTTGGGGATCTCATTGTTGCCATAGACAATACAGAAGGAGGGCCTTTATTAGCATCTATTTGAATAACGTTAGTTATAGGTGCTGTTGTTAATAGTCTTTGAGAATTCAAATTATGTATAACGTTAGAAGCCGGTACCCTAGTTTCTTGAAGGGTACACACAACCGGTTTAGGGCCTGTTTGAATAATAGATGGAGTAGAATGGTTTACTCCTGTAACATGTATAATTGGAGTCGACCCAAATGGCACGTGATTAAGTTGATCTGATTTCTGAACTTGACCATCTCTTTTATCACTTAACTGGTTCATGTTACTTATTAACACCTTATTTGGCAAATGTAAAGTCGAATTAATGTTACCCGCGTGTATAGCATTTTGCATTGATATTAAACGATTTTGTGCCATTACTGTAGGATTCGTACTTTGTTGCAAAGTTGTAGGAGATAATATTATTTTAGAATTTTCAGTTTGATCACCTTTTCTACAATCAGTTGTTATGATTTTTTGTTGATGTACAATTGCAGAACTGCTTACGCCAATTCCTTTATTTTGTTGGACTATATTATTAACACCTATCTGTTTGGATATCGGTGCTAACACAGGAGTAACAGGTAAACGGTTAAAATGCAAAGGTGGTCCTTGTGTTTGCACTAGTACAGAATTAGGTCTATTAGGGGACACCATAGATCTTGTACCATGTGGTATATGCACTGTTTGAATAGGACTTAACGGAGGTTGCTGCATTCGTACTACAGTCACTTGACCTGGAGATCTTTGTTGTAATGCATTTGGAGATGCCGTTATGCCGACAGAATTAAGATTTTGTGATGAAGTGTTTAGTATTGTCATATTTGATAATCTTGGTGAAGTCATTCCCTCGCTTTGTGTATTGGCTTTTGGGCTTTGTAGTCTAGGATCAGTAGACATTCTTGGTGATATAACAAATCCTGGAGGTTTCTGATATAAAATTTGAGGCTCCGGTATTTTAATAGTGGGCGGTTGCACATTAGGCGTTTGTGGCCGAATCATTTGATTAATAACTTGATACGGTGCCCCCACCCTGTTCGGTGCGATAATAGGTCGTAGAGAGTTATTAATTTGGACGTTCTGATTTTGAGCTTTTATTTGAACTATATTTGCAGTAATATGTGTTGGCTTATTTTCATTTTTGTCTCTACCGGACAATTGATTACCTTGAATATTTAAAACATGTGGGTCAAGTAATTTATTTGTTAATGCCCATGAAGTTATAACGGGTGTTGACGTTGAGGTAATTTGTTGCGGACTTTCTCTTTTAGCTAACTGAAATTTAATTTCGGTTTCGTTGACTTTCGCATTAGAATCATTTGCTTCAGAAGTTAAAACTTGAACTATAGTAGTTTTAGGTTTCGCAATAACAATATTTGATATTTCTGTAGATTTACGTTGTTCAGGACAAGCATTCAAGGTTTGATTAGTTGTAATAATATTAACAGGTAATTTTTCAATTGCATCTTGAGGAGTTTCGTCTACTTCTTCTGTATCAGTGTCAATTAACAGAAGGTCATTATCAGATACTGGCGTGTCAGGTTTCATTTCCATTTCACTGGCATTTAAATTTTGAACAGCTTGTCTCATTTCCTCGGCATCCTCCTCAGGTATGTTCTCATTCTCTATAGTAACATTTTCAATTTCAGTTTCATGAGATGAATCATTATTAACTTGTTCATAATCGTTAAACGTATTTACCTTCCCCCCAAAACTCTCACCCAAGAGTGCAGCTACAGCATCTTCAGTTTCTTCTTGAGAAATAATGGCCCTAGGTTTCTCCTCAGATTTTTTATCAAGTTTAGAAGCATGTGTGTCTATTTTATCAAGCTGTTGCTCGGAATCTATTAAATTAGGTATACTACGGACAGCATTTTTACTGTTAATTTCTGTGTTTATATCACTTACAAATTGGATAAAATTCTCTCTCTTACTGTGGTCTGACTGAGTAGGGGCAGGGTCGCTAGGTAACGGTACTTCACTGATATCTTTTATAATATTTTCAATTGGCGATGGCATTGGAATATCAATCACTTCAATTACTGTTTTATCCGTAAAAGTACCTTCGAAAGTACCGTCGACTGAAATCTCTCCTAAGGATCCACTCCTGCTTTTGCTCTCCAGCTTTCCAGTTGTTTGTGCTGGAACAGGCGGACTTTCTGTCAATCTTGGCAAACTTGGGGATTCAGAAAGTGATTTGCAATCATCTGATTTATCGGCATTATTATCACTTATCGTTTCACTCGGCAAAGGTATGTCCAAAATAGATGTTTTTGATGGCATCTCCAAAGAAATATTGTTCTCGCATACTAATTCAGATATATCCTGTACTTTATCGTGATGGTGGTAATTATGGTGTTCTTTACGACTTTGTCTTTCATCTTTATTTTTCTTCTTTTTCTTCTTTTTTTCTCTACAATCTTTCTTCATCTTTTCGTGTTTGTCACCAAGTTTTATATTTTCAATAATAACATCGCCTTTATAATCTATTTCGATTAGGTCAGTTTTCTTTAAGCGTTCAGATATTACTTCCAAATTTATCGAGCGACTATCTTCATCATCAATATTATCAGCAAAAAGTCGAGCTTCTATAGCTTTACTAACAGCATCAACATCCAAACTATTATCGTCTTCTTTGACAAAATGTCGCTTTTCCTTACGTTTTTTCTCCTTTTTCCGCTTGTTTTCATCTCGTTCTTTATATTTAACGTCATCAATATTTACTGTCATTTGATTGTTAGTACTATATTGGGATTCATAATCATGTGACGAAAAGTCCACTTTATTAGACAACGGTGCTGTAATATCTTTATCCGATTCATCTGAAAGAGGGCCAAAAATGTCTTCCATTTTCCCATCTTTTTTGGAAATAGACTCTATACTATAATCAAAACTATTATTTATATTTTTCTTTTCCTTTTTCAGTTTATTTTTATCTTCACGTGTTTCATCAGCATCCATACTTCCACGGATCTTATCTTTTCTTTTTTCCTTCTTGTTACTGTGACGTCGTGTTTTTTCAGAAATTTTATGTTTTGTTTCTCCTTCTCCATCATTAGTTTCAGTTTTGTTTTCATCGTCTGATATACATTTATGTTTCTTTTGTTTTCGCTTGTGTTTTTTGCGAACTTCTGAATTTCTATTAGACATAGATTCACTTTCTGATGAAAAATCGTTGGAAATTATTTTCATAAAATTAAGTTTATAGTCAGTGTCGGTTTCTATACCAGATTTTAATTTACTATCATCACTGTCGCTTTTTCCAAACAGATTTAATAAAGAATTTCTTTTAATTTTATCATCGGTTTCTTTAATAAGAATTGTGTCTTTTGGCCTTTGTAAAATCTCAGAGTCTGATGTTATCTCTTTCTTGATGTCTATAACATAATTGGGGCTTTTACTCAAACTTCTTTTCGACGTATCATCATCAGATGTATCAGACATTATACGTGACCTGGAGTTTTTACGAGACAGTTTATTACGAGAATCATCATTGTTTGGCATGTTGAAATATTCATTAATATTTCTATGAACGTAATCAATATTAGACTCTATTAATTTATCACGTTTTTTGCCACGGAACGCAATATTTTCATCATCAGTAGAACTATCCACAGACGATTTTTGATTTTTCTTTCTATCGTGATCCGAATCGCTGTCTTCGTCCCAACTGGATCTTTTCTTTTCCTCACGTTTAGCTCTACTCTGCTTCAACTGACTAAACTTCGCTTTAATTTTTTCTTGGCGCTTTTCTGCTTCTTGTTTCTGCATATTTTTACATGAACGAGCCTTAACTTTATCATACATTGATATATAAGTAGGTCCATCGTCGATTATATCGAATATAGAATGCTTTTTAGGCTCATCTGAATCAGAACTATCTGTACTATTTAATTGCTTTCGACCTTTCCGTTTGTTAGCATCATTTTTATCGTCTCTACTTTTACGATCTGTTGACATTCGCTTTTCACGTGCAGCTTCTTTTTTCTTGTCTTCTGGTTTCTGCTTTTTATCTTCCTTTAATTTATTCAAAAGGTCTGCTTGCATCAAAGCACCTTGTTGTAGTTGAAGTTCGTGGATTTGCTGTAACTGCTGAATACGTTTCTTTTCTTTCATTTCCTTTCTCAGAGCTTTTTGCTTTTCATCTTCTTCGCTTGATCTAAGCTCTAAAGTTGCTAAAAAGTCTAAATCATTGTGTAGACCTTCAGATACTTCATCGCTGTTGATTTTTTCTTCATTATCTATTTTCGGGCTCTTTTTTGATTTTATTTTGTCCCCAGAAAATTTTGGTTCTTTTATGTCGTCTTTTAATTCGAATGTATCGTCAGGTGGTTTTACTTGATTTTTCTTATCATCTTTTGTCTTACTTTCTATTATTTTAGCAAAATGACCTCTGTTAAATTTGGCAGTTTTATGTTTATCGGTATTTTTTGAATCTTTAGAGTCTCTTCTTTCAATTTTTTGATCATGTCTCGATTTCTTAAAATCTTCATTAAAAGATTCTAAACTATCTTGTGATGACATTCTTCTCTTATGTCCAATATTCGAAGGGAGACTAGAACAGGAATTTAGCCGTTCTTTGCGTTTGGAATCAAGACTTGGCGAATCCACGGAGTAATGTCTCTGTTTTTCAGCTGTATCTCCTTTGGATTTGCTCGTATGCTCCAAAATCATATCATTTTTTATTTTATTATATGCTTCTATTTGATCTTTCTCTTCCTTTATTTCTGTTTTAATCCTTACTACGGGTTCCACTTTTATAGTGTCAGTAGATTTAACAAGCGTTGAATCTTTATCCTCTTGTTTACAAAACAAGTCATAGTGTTTGACTTTTAACTTGGTTTCTTCTTTAATCTCATTGTGTTCTGAATCTTTGAGTTTAGTTGAATCATGAGAAGCACGTGAAGTCGATGAATCAGTAGAGTCTTTACGACACAAATCGCGAGAAATTTCATCTCTGGAAGACTTTCGAATCTTGACAGAATCAGATTCTTTTTTAATATCGCGTCTGTTATCGCCACTTTCTTTCTTAGATTTTTCATGTTTGTGTTTTTCTTCTTTCTTTGACCTAATTTCAATATCGGCACTTTCTTTTCTTTTATCTTTGTCAGATTTATCTTTTCTGTGATGCTCATATCTTGACTTGTCTTCTGCTTGTTTATTTTTATCAGTTTCACGATCATTTTTATCTTTATGAGATTTATCCGCATCTCGGTCTACTTTACTTTTGTCACCATGTTGTTTTTCAGTTGTAGTGTCTTCTTTATTCCTTTTATCTTTATCATTTCTTTCTAAATTTTTGTCATGTCTATTGTTTCTTGTTTTTTCTCTTTCATAATCATGTCTATCTTTTTCAACACGATCTCTGTTGTGACGTATTTTGTCGCGGTCATGTCTGGTTCGATCTTCTTTGTCGCTTTCAGATACCTTTTTCTCTGAGAAAAAATGTGTGTTGGAACTGTATTTGTCTTTATCAATACATTTCTCAAATTCAATATTTTCTTTTTCCAATTTCGTAATATGCAAGGCTTCCAATATGATATTTTGACTGAATCTCTCCTTCCCATTTTTATCACTAACCTTCATAAATTCTTGGCTAATTAATTCAGAAACGTCTTTATTTACTTTAGGTAAATTAGTAGTGTTTAAATGATTCTGTTGCGTTTCTATTTCAATTAGTTCTTTATTGTGATTTGGGCTAAATATTTCTTTACAGTTTTCATTTTCTCTTTTTATTTGGCAACTAGAATCGTCAAACTTATTTTCACTATCTAATTGTAATTTACTTTCTTTTTGAATAGTCAAGTCAGATTTAAGGCTGTGATCATTTGTAGTTTTGGCTCGATTTTCTTGATTTTCTGTCTTAACAAGTTCTTGTTCTTTAGCGACTTCATTCAATAATATATCTGCGATATCTCGAGCAATAGTATCTTCACATTGATTGCTGAGTGGAATAGTATCAGACCGTTTGTTTTCATTTTGTAATAATTCAGCCCTAGATGATGCTGTGGGAGTCAATTTTCCGTCATTACAGTCCATGCTTTTATCTGACAAACGTCTATGCGATATATTCGTATTCTTTAACCTGCTTTGGTACTCAGGATCGACTCCGTCTGAACTGTCGCAAATTTCCTTATCGGCGCTTATATCCGCACTGGGCTTATTTTCTCCAAAAAGAGAATTTCGCCGCCTTCTATTAATAATACTTCTTGGATCACTACTAGCATCTCCTTCCATTCGAGGTGATTTCCGATCACTCGAGTCGGGCTGCGATCGATCCGTCGAGGGCGTCCTCGGTCGGATCCTCGAATCGAGTCTATAATCGCTCTCGTTAAATTTATTAGGTAGTCTCTCTAACTGGAAAGGTCTTTCATGGCGATTGAGACGTGGATCTGCCGGGCGATCCGTCGCATCGACGTCAACGTCGAGCTGTTGCGGGTGTAACAAAGACGGCAGAGTTGGAGTTGTAGGTGTCGACGAAGGTGCAAGAGACTGTGATGGGTGTGTAGGATGCGCCGGGAACGGATAACGAAGTGCGCGAGGAGTACATGGCGCTGAGCGGCGAGGACTGCCGACTGGGCTCGGCGCCCTCGCCGCTCCTTCCAGTCGCTCCGAGTCTTCATCGAACACGGAACGTTTCGCAAGTAGTGATCGTACAACCTCCGACGGCTTTACTTCATTGATGTCGACTTCGAGTAATCGGTGACGAAGACGAGCTCGATCAGGTGCGTCTGCGAGAGCACGAGAACCGCTCCATCTCTCGTATTTTTCATCAAGACTACGAATACGCTCCTCTAATGAAGGTGAATGCGGTGCAGAGCCAGCGCTTGAAGAAGAGGCAGAAGGCGGACGCGGCGGTGAATCCGGCGCCAGCGCCGGCGCCGGTGTTGGCCGCGGTGCTGATGGTGCAGCGCGTAACAGCTGAGCCGCGAACTTCGGTAAAGGCAAACTCATGGGCAGCGGAGGGCGTTCGCGCGGCGGTCGGCGTGGCTCACAGGGCAACGCATCAGTCTCGTCACGAAGAGGAGTGCCGGCGCGTGAACCGGAACCATCTCGGCGCCGCCGGTGCCTCCGCCGGCCCGCGTGCTTCTCTCCGCCGCGCGACCCCGACCGCGACCGCCGCCCGCTGCACTGTCCTACCACTGCAGCGACACCACTGCTCCCGCCAGCGCTCCGATGTCGCTCCTATAATTCAAATTTACAAGATTAAAGACGAATATGCTTTGTCATTTATATTTTAATCATGTTAGTGCTCTTAGCACTAATAACGTTAGTTTATCAAAATATAGCAACATCACAATTATCATTAAATTTTCATAAAACAATTTAACAATAATTAATGTTTTTGACAGATTATTAAAAAATGCTCTGTTTGCAAATTAAAACATTAATCATACAATAATGTTCTTATTCAGCTATTATTACAAATTGGAATTATGATTGATGAAAAAATCTTAAGCAAAATATTAATTAAAATTATTTTTTTTTTGAAAACTGACAGATTACAACGTTGCTATAAATTAGCGGCTGAGTAAACTTTGAAAATTTACTATTTATTAAATTAGTTATTTAAAATAATATATCTCAATTGATATAGTCAATATAATAATAAGTCTGGAAGAAGCTAAAAAAATTAAAACTATACCCCTTTTAAATAATACAATATCAAGACGTAATAACATAATAAAAATTATGTATTAAACGTATAAATAATTATTAATTAAAATATTATTATAATTTTTTAGTGACGGGGTCGTGAGTCTTTTTACTTAACTTTTTACTTTTTTGTGCGTCGCGACATAAAAATGATTGAGAAATAATGATATAGATAATTTATAAATCCATTATAAACCAATTTTTTGTACGCTTCTTCGTACGCGTGGATTTCAGAAGTAGGAAAACCAACGACATATACCAACTTCTAAGCAACATATCACGATAAAACATGCACAAGATTTTATATAAGACCTTCAGGAAGGTAACACATCTAACATGATCCATTGTGTATTTGCGTGATGCTAGAACAAACAAATAGACATGAAATGTTTAAAGAACATTAAATTGTCTGTGGAGAAAATCTTTCAAATTTATTGTCTTAGCATCTGTTATTGCCTTCTCCATGTCCATTAATAGGGTAAACTCATCAGTAACTGGCCACTTAAGCAGTTTCGACAGTTCATTACAGTTTTTTTTTTTTAATAATAATAATACTAATAAATTTATTTGCTTTAAATAGGGTAGGTATCGGTGGTCTTACATTACATAAAGTTTCGTGCCTATTTAGCCATTACAGAATAGCATGCAAATGTCACATTTTGACAGGAATTGATTAATTTAATTTATGCATCGACAACTATATTAGATATTTATCTATTCTTTCTTGAAAAATTCGTCAACAGAGTAAAAACTTTTGCTAAGTAACCATTTACGTAACACAATTTTAAATTTATTTAATGGAAGTTCCTTTATATCCGTAGGTATATTGTTAAAGATTTTCAAACACATCATATAGGAATTTCTTAATAAACGGCTAGTTTTAGGAATTGTATTGGTCACTAGTTTTTTAGGGTATCTTGCGCTTCTTTGTATTTGCTCTTTTGCTTCTGTAAACATGTGCTTATTCAATTTAACAAATATACCCGCTTCAAGTATATACAGACTGGGAACAGGTAATATATTTAGAGACTTAAAATAAGGCCTACAAGAAACATCAGGTGCAATATTACATATAGCACGTATACAACTTTTTTGCGCGACTAGAATTTTCCCAACATCAACGCCATTACCCCAAAGTAGCAATCCATATCTAATCATGGATTCAACATATGAAAAATATGCTGTAATAGCAGTATTTTTATTGGCTATCTTGGTTAATTTGTAGAGTGCAAAAGGGAATCTTTTAATCTTTGCACATACCTTTTCTATTTGTTCTTTCCATGTCAATTTAGAATTTATTGTTAATCCTAGAAATGTCACACAATTCGCATTATTTATAATCATTTATATGTATATTAATTGAAGTATTTTTAAAGTTATTAAAATTCATCATTTTTGTCTTTCCTACATTTATTAGAAAATTGTTTTCTTGTGTCCATTTTATAATAAATGTCAATGTATTTGTAATGTCCATTTTATGTTGCAATATTGAACATTCTTTACCTGTAGAGACAATAACTGAAATGTCATCTGCGAAAAGTATTGTTTTATTATTTATTATGTCAGCAAGATCATTTATATATACTAGAAATAATAGCGGTCCAAGTACGCTTCCTTGAGGGACTCCGTAACTATTGTGTTCATATTCAGATTTAAACATTTGTACCGTTGATTTAGAGTCTAGTTGTTGTATTTCCACACATTGTTTTCTGTTTTCCAGGTAAGATTGTAACCAACTCTTTGCAAGTCCTCTAATACCATTAGATTCCAATTTTAACAATAATTTATCATGGGACACAAGGTCAAATGCTTTAGACATATCAATAAATAACACTGTTGTATAATTTCCTTTATTAACATTTTGCAAAGCCTCATTTACAAGTTTGAAAGCTGCAAGAGTTGTGGAGCCATTTTTCCGAAAGCCATGTTGATTAGGTTTAATAATATTAAATTTGTTAAAAAATTCATTTAATTGATCATGCATCACCTTTTCAAATATTTTTGCAAATATTGTTATTAATGTGATAGGTCGATAATTTCCCAAATCAGTACTATCTCCTTTCTTGAATATTGGTTTGACAACTGATATTTTTAGCTTTTCTGGGAATATTCCACACTCTAAAGAGAGATTAATTAAATGTGTTAGTATTTTAACTAGCTCTTCCTTGCATCTTTTTATTACGTTAGTGCAAACAGAGTCATATCCTTCCGATTTTGTATTTTTTAAGGACATAATTTTTTTACTAATATATGATTCGTTTACTGGTTTTAAGTAGATAGTATTTGATAAATTATTCTTGACGCTTGTAAGTGATTTTCTTAAGGTATTGTTGGTACTAAGGTTTGTAAAGTATTTGTTGAATGTAGTAGCGATATCTATGGGATTAGTCTTATATTCATCTTTGTTTATAATTTTGCTGATATATTTTTTTGTCTGTGCATTACTTGTTTCTTTTTTAATTATATTCCATGTGGCCTTACACATATTTTTACTATTTGCTATATGTTTTATATTCGTTATTCTCTTAGAATAATTTGTACATTTTTTTAAAAGTCTATCATAGTTTAAGTATTTTCTACGATTTATTTCAGTTTTGTCCTTGTAATATTTATAACGAAGTGTTCTTTTAGTTATATAGCTTTTTCTAAGACCTTTGGATACCCAAGGAAGTTTACCTGTAGAGTTAATTTTTATTCTAATCTTAGGAAAACATAGGTTGTACAGGAGACAAAATAGATCATGAAATTCATTGAAAGCATCATTTACATCTGTTTTTTGGTATGCCTCTGAAAATGATACACTCTTTAAATGTTGTCTAAATCTTTCAATATTTTCATCCGAATAGCATCTCTTGTATATATAAATAAACCTAGGGATTTCTTTTTTAATGTTACTATTAAATTTGAGTATCTGTGCTGTATTGTGGTCTGATAGACAAAGGGGAAGTACATATCCTGATGCCTTGTTTATATTACTTATTATTAAGTCTAAGCAAGAGTTTTGTCTTGTAGGATCATTTATATTTAAAGACATGTTATATTTATTAAGAATATCAAATAATTTGATGGTATTTTTATTAGTTTTTTCAATCATATTGATATTAAAATCACCAGTTATAATAATTTTCTTTTTCGAGTACTTTTTAATGCATATGTGTAATAAGTTTTGAGGAATGTATCGTCAGAACCTAAAGAAATTTCTTTTCCCTCTTTTTGAAAAACCCCATGCTGTAGTCTCTTGGAAAAACCTCGACAGGGAGCTCCATTCCATAACCTAAGCATTCGTGGAAGAAAATATCTTTAAAACGCTTTGTATGCGACCATTTAAGCATATGGAGGTAAACCCTAAAATAAACAGGTTGTAAAATAAAAAAAAAAATAAAGATTTTATAATCACAAAACATAACCATAAAGAGATCATTATAATCGCTACATAAGTGAATACTTATTTCATTTATTAATATAAAAATAATATAATCATCATCAGACGAATCTGTCTCTTGATAACAAATATGACATAAAACGGTGTCTTCATTATCTTCGAGGATGTGGACTCTATGCTTCGATAGAATGCAATTGAATTGTTTTTTTTTTATTACATTGACTGCATTTACAATTGTCCTTGTTATAGAATCTTCTTATCTTATTTTATAGCACTTCTCTTGATTTTTTTATCCTCTTTCCTGATACTTTTACTTTTCTTCTTTAAATCTTTTTTAGTTGTATATTGAAGAATATTCTCTTTTTGTAGTTTCTTTTCTCCTTATAATCTCTTTCTTTCCTTTTTTGTAGATTCATCTTCTTGTTTTTAAGCTGATTGGTTATCATTTCATGTGGAAATGATAAAAACCAATCTAATATAATAATCAATGAACTGTCCGACGTTAGTGCAAATGGATTTTTCAGACGTTTCCGTTTTCGTTTAAAAAGTTCCGGTAAATTCTTTGATCTGAGCTTTTTTCTGTAGATCTACTATCTATTCGAAATAGACAGAAGAAGTCGGTTGCAAATTGTCAGTCTTTGCAAAGTTGGCCAATAATAATAGTATATAGAATAATAGTAAACAATACTATTAATCTACACAAATAAAAATTTATTGTTAAATGTACAACTGAAGAGCTAACTTCAAAAACAACTGGACAAATTGAACAATTTATTTTTTCATTATTCATTGAAGTCCGATGAAGGTCTTATAAAATAAAAAATTTGAAAAACGTCAAAAATTCTAAGAACGTCATTATTTCAATACAAACTGTTCCCAGCTACTTATGGGTCTTAATTAATTAATAATTCGTAATGGGACAATTAATCACCATGAAATTTAGTATATATGTATTATTTAAGATGGTGAAGGACATAGGAAAATTTATATTTGTTTCGGTGATATATTTTAATTTTTTTTTGTTGATCCTGCAATATACAGAATCGCAGGTCCCCCCCCCCCCATCCATTACGTATTACGTCTTGTATATCCATTTATGTCATCTTTACTTTTCCTATACTTGCTCTTTCCATCCTTCTCTATAGCATTCATTATCATTCATTCATCATCTTTTACCTGTGTGGTTCGGTTTTCCTGATTTATTGTTACACCATCTGTCTATTATTATTGTAATTCTATGATCTTTGTATATTCATATCTGTTTGTTTGTTTGGATATCTAATTATTACTCAAAAAAAGAGAAATGACTATCTTTAGTAACTAAAATTTCATAAGAATCCTGTGGGTTAACGATATTGCAAATTGTAAACCGAAAGAAGCGCCTATAATTTATAGGAGACTCAAAATACTCAGATTCATCTGTACCCACCAACGTTACTGAACATAAGAGACGAAAGTTTACTGGCGCAGAATTACCTTTACAGTAAGCACCGGACATAAAAAGGAGAACATGACATTAATTTTAATTTAAAAAACAATGGAAATATTTATGATATTTTGAGGAATATGTGTCAGGAATTAAATAATACGCATACATATAATTCTAAAGCAAACCTTTGAATGTTTTCGGTCTTCATTGCTAGAGTCGCGTCGATGCCGCCGGGCACGATGTGGCGACACGACAACAGACTGTAATCTGTCGTCATAAGGCGCATCTTCCGTCTGCGGACTGGAACCTAACTCATCGTATACCCTGCAATGACAAATCCCTATATTAAATAAACACACCAAAATATTAAACCTAATAGGTATGATGCACTTACTCAAAGTTTGATATTTAAGTACATACGAGTTTAATTCGTTCTGTAACCTTGCTCGTATGTCAAATTGCTGGTATCACAAAGCAATTTTCCCCATTGAAATTAATTGAATAGTCATTAATCCGTTCCAGCTCCCAAAAAAACCACCTTAATTGTTTTTGAATAAGAAAAATGTATTTACAAGGAACATTTATTTTTAACTCGCACACCTTGCTCGTGTTTTTCTATGATTTCACGCTTTAATTCAATAGACATCATCTTGTTTGAACCCATGGTTATAAAAATAAATGGGATGTTTTGTAAATGTACAAAAAGCTAAAAACGCGAACCCAACTAATCAAAAATGTTTCAAAAACGATGAAAACAGCACACAGATCTAGTCTGAGGTGGGAGAAACTTAGACGCTGCACACTACACCAACATGCGCTCCGCATGTGAGTGTAATGTGCGATTCCTCCTATCTCAAATCTTGCATTCTATCACCTATCATAAAATGTTTACGAAATTTCGGGGACGAAAGAAACACAAATTTAATGTTAAAATTACATAATACACAACGTTTAAAAATTAAAAAAATGTCGAAATATCATTCCTTTGGACTTTTATGGTAGGATTTATGACGAACAAACCGTTAAGCTCTATTGAGGCAATTTCAACATAAACAAAGATATGAACTTGAATCCCAAAAATCCGTATTTCATTTCATTTCATGATATAACCCCTGATCTTTCATTTGAATATCCAAGCACTGAATATAAAAATAAAAAAAAATAAATTTGTTTTATTTTTTTAACACTAAACACTGTAAGTGTACATCAGTAAAGAAAGTAAACGTATAATTTTTGATAGCGATATTATTAATACATAACCATTATGTATATCATAAGCATAGGACTATTACGCGCGCAAACGCAAACTCTCTCCAGTGAGCACTAAGCCAGTCCGCTTATTCCTATGCTTCGCAATTTGCGCACGGGATACTTCGGCACTCAGGACCTACACTTACGCTGTAGTATTGATATTATTAAGGAGAGAAATCAAAACCCTGTCATGACTGTTTCTAGAATTTGTTATTTCATTTATGAACAAAGGAACAAACAAATTAGTGGTTTTGTAGTATATGTGTATATATATATATATATATATATATATATATATATATATATATATATATATATATATATATATATATATATATATATATATATATATATATATATATGTGTGTGTGTGTGTGTGTGTGTGTGTATGTATGTAATTAATCACTCGTGTTCGTTTTATATTAACACACCTGTAACGTCGGTCGGCGGCATAATCCGTAGGATCATAATGATCAATCGTTGTGTAGCGTGGTGTTCGCGAGGATCCCCGACCGTAACTTGATGCTCGTGATCGCGAACCGCAATTTTCATATCTAAAAAATAATATAATAATATACTATACTTCAAACACAAATAGTTTTTATTCTAAAAATGGCAAGGAAACTAAGGGCCTTCCTAAGGAAAAGTGGTGACCGCTCACGATAGATATGAACCATTACATAATTTAATAGTGCAAAGTAGTATGAAGAAAAATTAAAAATAAAAATGAGTTTATTGTTTGTTACCTCTTAGCGCCTTAATAAGTTAATCAGTCACCACGAAATTTGGTACACACGTACTGTGACGGAAAACGATTTAGGCCACTATTTATCCTAGTCATGAACATGCACTAGTTACGCAGACGAAACCCCAGGTAAAAGCTAGTATAAAATATATTAGTTATTCTCACCGTAGCGGGTCGTGCCGCGTGCTCGGTACGTATCGCGTAGCGAGATCGCCAGTCAGTCTTTCGGAACCAGAGAGAGCAGATGGGCCACCGTGTTTCCCGAGTTGCTCATAGAACGCCTCCTGTTGACAAAAATAATATTTTTAAATTTAAAATATACTTTTAATATTCTCTCTAATCTTTGTACTAACAAAGCCAATTTTCAACTGACGTTATAAACTTATTAGACTACTATTTGAGTTGTAACAGCAATTGATTCGTGGGTGACTATGCGCTAGCATACGCCACATCTTCAGCAACTTACGCATAGTTGTTTCAGTGGCATACAATGCTAGTATGCATATTTTGACAAAATATGAATTTAATTTATTTGACATATAAAGTAACTCGTAGACTACAAATAAAACTCAGCGTTTAAACCAAACTCCACTTAATAGTGAGTGTTGAAACTAATAGAAAGGGTGATAAAAAAAATTTTGGTATTCTTTTACTCTCGCAACTCAACGAAAAACATTATTTAAACGAATATTACAAAGAAAATAAATTTAATTTTTTATTTGTAATGGATTAACTCAAAAAATACTTAAACGATTCTAAAATTTCTTTCATCTATCGAAAGCTATAACAAATGACATGGAGGGAAATTTATTTTCAAAACAATTAGATCTACCTATCTACCCACGCGAAGTCATAGCGAGTCACTAGTTTGTAATATATATCTATAACAACAATGTAATATGTATAGTAACAATGTAGACATAAATACACACTTGTGTTGTCAATTAAGGACTACCATGTATACTAATATATATATATATATATATATATATATATATATATATATATATATATATATATATATATATATATATATATATATATATATATATATATATATATATATATATATCTAAGTCCTAAATTTAGTGTGATTTATTATTTTAGTTTAATTCAAACTTTAACCTCATAAGCTCCATGCTATTTATTATATGTCAACATGAGCTGGACGCCCAATATGCAATTCAAAGTACAACATCAATCACAAAAGAGACTGATTTTTGTGACAAAATCTGCCCGAATTTTCACATATTTTTCTAAACACTAAGGTTTTACCGTTTGTATAACGGATTGTGATCCAAGGAAATGTTTTAAATAATGCCTACAAAAACCTTTTATTACCGCATCGCTCGCCATTGACAGAGAATACACATGAGTCACGTACAATAGTTTCTCCCGCAAACGTTCAGGCTGTGGAATGAGCTCCCTGTCAAGATTTCCCCTATAGGCTACAGTATAGGGGTCTTCAAAGAAAGTTTATATTATGGTTTCTTCAGGATCGGCAACGCGTACATGACACCCCTAGTGTTGCAGGTGTCCATAGGTTACAGTGACCGTTTACCATTAGACGGTATATATTCTTGTTTGTTTATAAAGTAGCTCATTTTAAGTTCAAACTCTTCTCTTGTTTATTTAAATGTGCATCGTGCGTTAATTTCAAATAAAAATCCACAAGACTTGAGCGTACATCGCTTTTGCACTAGGCGTTTAAGAGACGTTTTAAATTTTTTTAAGTTTATACCGGAATGCCGAGTGTTGTTACTTCTTGCAAAATAATGTAAGTATATTAAGCCTTACGAAGTTAATGATCACATTTCGAATTAGTTTATTTAATAATAAGACAGTATAGGCAAGTCAGGTTAGTATTGTACCTGGCACTCCCGCGAGGCGTAATCAACGCAGAGACGCGGGTGATCGGGCTCGGCGGCGGAGGCCTGGGCGGCCACGCGGCGCAGCTCGCGCACCGCCATGCCCGCCGTGACGGCCTGCTCGAAGTGTATGAGCGCCGCCCCCGCCGCGCGGTCCACACACACCGACGTCGCCGAGCCGCATCGTGTCACCGCCCCCAGTACCTGAATACGTTCGTTTTTGATACACGGCCCGATTATTTCTAACGTTCCCTGACCGTTTTGAAACGTTCTGTAAACCGTCAAGAAACTAAATTGACCACGTGGGTATTGTGCCTCATAAAATCCACTCGATCGAAACACTTCAACCACACATTGATCTGCTTTGTAGCGAAAATATTTATTTAAAAATTTTCTTCTGTAAGTTTCAGATTCTTAATTTTGAATTCGTAACAAGTTTATATAACTGCTGATAACGAAATCAATCAAGCTGACTTGACTAACTGAAATATATAATCGATTGGTGCTTCTTGATCGTATTCTATCTTCAAAGTAATGAAAAACACAAAATTTTACAATTATGGAATATTGAAAAAAAAATAGAGTTTATATTAAACCCTAATAAAAAAAAAATAAAAAAAACGCGAAAATTTGTAAAAATATGAGTACTCTTGTATAAAAATTGTTTAGTCTTATAATTATTATAAGTAATTCTTATTAATTTATTGGCATCATTATGGTTAAAAATATTTTACCGTTAGCCAAGATACAGAAATTATTAACAAATATATAACATTATAAATATAATATAGCAGATTTTTATCAATCATAAAGTTAATGTTAGTGACACAAACAATCTCACTATCAATTTAAATTCATATCAGTTCAGTAGTTTAAGTCGTGACGTGAAAACGTAATAAACTGACTTAATTTTTTTATAACACTTGCTAATAGCAGATGGCATGCTTCAAATACAGATCGAATTAAACATAAATAAGTAGACTGCGCTATTCCATCTTGTATTGAAATATCACTGACAAATGTTTTAAACAGTTGTACGAGAATACTAAGATGTGCTTCAAATATTTGTTTACACAGTTGTTTTGATGTGTATTGTTTGTAAATAGAAACTGCCTGATATGCAATCAATACCCAATATTAACTTAGAATTCAATTACCTGTTTCTCTGTATGTTCGGTGAGACCATCTACCCAGACACAAGTGGTGGCGACGGGCTTGCCGAAGCCTAGTTTGACACGTGAGCCCCCGACGTACTCCCCATCCATTGAGCGGATGGCTTCCACCACGCTAGATATCGACGCGTACTGACAAAACGCATACCCGGCTCCCCCGCCGCTACCCTTCTTGATATCGATCTCTATTATTCGACCAAAGTGCTTGAATTTGTCTCTCAGCTGTTGTTGCGTAACATCCTTCTCCAAATTACCGATAAATAAAGTTCTTGTCGCCTGATTGACCAAAAAGGAAATCATAAATTACTTTTTTATGAAACTTAGAATGGCAAACAAGCTTAGGGCCCACCCGATGGAAAGTCGCCTACAGACTTCGAAGTGAATATAGTTTTAAACACAAAGAAGTATTTTTAAGTGCATATTAGTTATGAACAGTGTTGCCGGTAACTACCTGATAACTAATAACTAATTTACTTATAGAATTTACATTTTTCTAATCTATTTGTTGGCATATTTCCTTTATCCAGATGAGATGAGAAAATGAAATGAAAGATTTATATGGGTTTAAAGCACTCAGCTATGTATTTTGCATTTGTTTTTTGTGTATTTTTTATATGTTTTCAACATCACACACAGCAACACATCAGATCGTTCCATCATCAGTCAGTTATATTAATGGGCCGTCAGCAATTCTACGGCTTGCAGATGGAGATACGATCCGTTCTCTGCTTAGACGTTGCCAAATCTGTATTTGGTGGTAACTCGCAAGACAGTAAAAGAAGTGGTATTGAAAAGCAAATACTTGCGAAAATAGTCAACAAAACTATATTTGAGTCGATTCTAAGGCGCTACTACTCTAAACTTTTGTCTGAAATTAAAACTAATATTCCCGTATAAAAATTGGATATAATGTCACAACGAAACCTTTATACGGACCAATATATATAAGACTAAATTTCTAATAGATTCAAGTTAAAATTATTATTAATTTAATGATGGAATATAAAATAGTAATTTTACAAAACTGTCAAATTTAAATATTAAGTTAAGCGATAGGTTTAAAGAAATGGCGCCTTAGAATCGAACCCATTAAGTGATAAAATCACTCCTCCGTGCACTGGAACGTTTACTTAATGCGTGATATATGCTGGATATAGATTAATTTTGATCTGTTTTTCTATATATATATATATATATATACACACTATATATATATATATATATATATATATATATATATATATATATAAAGAAAAACAGATCAAAACTGACGGCCCACCTGGTGGAATGTGGTAACCGTAAATAAATAAAAATAATAGATACCATTCATGCGTTGCCATATAACCAGAGGGAGACTTTGTACAAAAGTCAATTGCTTGCGTACTCTGTCCCATTCGTGTTTCAACCGTGAAGCAGTTGTGTTTGCATGGCTGTGTTTCGATTTGAAGGGTGGGATATGGCGTGAATTTACTGGGCACAGAGGAATAACAACCGAGTCCTCAGGAATGGCAACGCATGGGGGGTATCATGAGTGAAACAGTATACTCTGTTATGTCTATGGTACTGCTCATGTCTATAGGCGACGGTTACCACTTTCCATCAGGTGGGCCGTCAGCTTGTTTGCCATTCTAATTTAATAATATAATATAAATAATTTCCTAACCATATCCTACTCTTCTCAAACCAAAACACGGCCATGCAAACACAACTGCCTCACGACAAAAACACGAATGGGACAGAGGTGCTCACGCAGATGACTTTTGTACAAAGCCTCCCTCTAATCACTATCGGTACTTTTTAGTATTGTACTATTGAAATCAACTAATTACCCTAACCATCATCAAAGACATTGAAATCAACTAACCTTTGGATGATACTCGTCAATATCAGTCTCGTAAGGTTTAGCCGAATCGGCATCTTCATCGCAACTTTGGTGGGGAGCAACTGAGATCTTGCATCCAAAAAAAAGCTTATCTTGAGAAACCTCGAGTGCTTTCTCAACATCGGACGGCTTCTTAAAACGTACAACTGCATACCGATCGGCATTCTGACCGACCACTTTAACCCATATCACTTTCCCATGCTTTTTATATTCGTGATAGAGACCATCTTTCAATGAGGTATCAGTAGATCTGGTAGGTAAATTTCGTACGCAAATTGCGAGTGGTCTACCACTTGCTGTTGATGCCCACTGTAAAAGGAATAATACTTTGTTACTATTATAAGTTATACAAAACAGATATACAAAATAAAAATAATTTTCATAATTTAACTCATGTTCCTTGTGAAAACTTTTTATGCCTGGCATATAGTAAAGGAAGGAGAACTCTCCTTCATAAATACGAGTAGTATCTGAACTTTACCATTCTTCCAAAATAGCAAGTAGTTAATTTAAACCTTTATCTGACGAATGTGCGATTTTGCATGCAATAATTTTAAGTGTCATGTATAATTCAAAACACAATAACTAATGCAGGTCAGTAAAGGAAAAGAGACATTATAATATAAAACGACGCAACATACCCCTAGTACAATAAAAAACAACTAACAACGCGATAAAATGCTTGAATTCCTTAACCATATTCAGGTAGTTATTAAAGACGAGATCCTAAAAATCAAGCAAGCCAAATTGAGTAAGTACTTTGTTAAAGTCAGATGAAAAGTACTTTTTCTATTTCAGTTACACCTTATTTTTCAAAAATTACATCCACGGCAAATACAAAATATTTCGGTAACTAATATACGAGTATATATTTACAATTTCACTCAAATGCTTAATGTTTAAACTAATAAAAATCCCACTTTTAAAATTAAAAATATGTTCACGATTTAACCCTATAAAGGATGAGCTAACTGACCTGCCTTTACATCCTCACCTATCATCCCTCACTGGTACCTCGCCAACGTATGCCGTTAGCGCAAATGGAGTTACCATTTCATTATCATTCATTAAAAAACCTGTAAAGGATAGAGAAGTTAGTTGTCCGTTGGCAAAATATGTAGTTCTAATATTGTTTCTAGATATAAGATTGAATTAAGCTGCGATTTAAGAAAGTTGTACAAACAAGACAAATATTTAAACAATCTGTATTAGTCAGTTGAGTACGAAACACTAAAAAGATTTAATTGTAATTATAAATTAAAAAGTTTGTAATAATTTTTCTATTAGCTGGTCAAGACACTTTAATACAAAAATTCGAATATTACCAAATCAATGAATAATATCAATGTCAATGTCCTAAGAATTTAAATAATTGTAAGCGGCACATTCTGTTTAAAGGAGTGTTGACCGACATTTGTATTACAAGTAGGTCCGCGAAACAGTCATGCGTTCAACGTGTTTACGCAACCAGCAACAACATCGCGTTTTCGCGTAGCGAATATATCGGTCAGAAAAAGAAATTCGGCAATAACGTCTTCAATGTATTTTGCATAGAAAGCGACATATCATACACGACCGAAAGTTACATTATAAGTGGCTTATAAGAGATTGTTATTACATTAAGATAATCCCCTCTCTGCCGCGGAATCTTCGCTGAGAGCCCCCGCAAACACACCCACACACCGAACACACCGTCCCCGCCGACGGGAACGAAGATCCCAACCGACACTCGGTCCGCGCGCGATCAGTTTTGCGCCCGAGAGCACTCCAACGACTCAGAGTTCCCACCCATCCCGACATACCGACCCTTGACGGGGGTCGAAGTGTGGTGGTCTAAGCCGAAGTCCGAGCCACTCTGGCACCCTTAGGCACACACCGCAGGCCATAAGTAAGAGTCGACCCCTCTCTCGCGGGCTTGGAATGCCATCTGCACTCGCCTCTGCATTCGCGTTCGGTGAAGCTGTAAAGGCCACTCACGACCAACAGCAAACACATTCAGAAAAAAAATAAGATAATCCAAAGCGCAAGATTATGAGGATGTATGGACGTTTGTTACTTACAAAATGTTCCACTTAATTATATTGATACAGATAATCATTATTATCATCATATAAGCCATTAACTGTCCACAGCTAAATATAAGCCAGTTTTTGCCAATTTTGGCAGTAGTTGCCACGCTTGGAAGGCAGGTTAGCAACCGCACTTAGACTTTGGCCATAGGGATGCTGTTGCCCATTCCTCGAACATCTCTAGTTCTTTTAGTCGCCTCTTATGAAACCCACGAGAATGGAAGGGGAAAAGGTAACATCATATTTGTCATATAAATGTGGTAATATAATTTAAAATTAATAACACAATTTATAATAAATCCCAAACACAACGAGATGTAGGTGTAACTAAATATTCATCATCAAGGAACATGAGTGACGATATATAAATAATCGAATATAAACAATAACAATATGACGAATTATACAAACCTGGTATTGATGTGCGGGAGGGGTACGATGATTGGGATGATGAGATAAGGGTGGCGGCGCGGCAGGAGTGGAAGCACGAGATGTGTCACTAGGCTCGGGCGAGGTTGAGTCGGAGCGCGACGAGCCCGAGCCCGAATGGCGCCGCCGCCGGCCGCCCTCCGTGCCGCCGCCCGGAGTGCTTGGCGTGCTCTCGCCGCCCGTCGCGCCCCCCGCACCTCCTGTCCCCCCTCCGCCCCGATCTCCACTCGCATACCATCGATGATGAGGTGTTGACCTGTAACAAACAAATTACATTGAACTTTCACTGCTAAAATTCTTTTAGAGATCTATAAACAGTTAACAGCGTCCCTACCGAAGCTTACCGAAATATAACAACATTAGAATTATCTATAAATTTCCAAAGACAATGTTTAATATTTCTGATTGATTATTTACAAAATGGTCCGATAATGAACTAAATTGTTTACAATACGAGTAAGTATATTATTAAGCTGTCCTCTAAATATTTTTTGTAAAAATATTTGAAAACTTCAGAAGTAATTTATGTAGTAAAATTTTCAGTGGAATATTTTCTGAAGTAGGTTTATGTGTTAATTTAGTACATGATTAACATGTTAGTTCAGTATCGATACATTTCGGTTGAACGCTTTTAATAAACAAATATCAAAAACATTTTGGTGATGCGAACTTGTTCCAAATGTGAAAGATTGTAAGGAAATTTTGAAGTAAATATACTTCAATAATATCAAAAAATATAATTCAAATCTATTGAATTAATTGTAATAACAATATGATGTTATGTTCCTGGGTTCGTTCGCGTAGCAATGTACAGTTGTAAGTTTGAAAATAATTTAACTAGAGAACCAACCAATTAAATGTGGACAGTGTTATGTAAAATACTTATTTCTGTATGATTTTCATGTTTACTAGTAAATATAGAAGTATGTTAGTTGTGTTTGTTTGTTGCCTCTTGGCATCCTAAATATTCAACCAATCGTCATATAATTTTACATACTTGTATTATTTGGCATGGTTCCGCAAAATATTTTCTATTTTAAAACGGATGTGCCGCTAAATAAATTTAAAACTCTAGTGTAGTAATTATACATTGAAACCTCGTACACATCTTTAATTTAAATTCTGAATCAACGTAAACTGTCTTATTTATGTTTTTAACCAAATCTGAACAATTAAATTAATAACAAGTAAAATTATAAAGGTTCTATTTCTCCGATCGCGTTAAAGAGATTCGGAACCCTTCTCAGAGTAGCAAGAAAAATATACAATTAGAGATAACGTATATTTGTTATAAATTTGTTTAAATAAAAATTTGGTGGGTTTAGCACTGAATTTTTTGTAATAATAAAAAATCCTTATACCTATATGGATAATGTTGGTAAGCTATAAGCTATAATATATCTCCCATATTTAGAACTAACAAAATTTTTCATCGTGCCTCCCACCAAACTGTCCATGGTGCCTGGAAGAGATCGCTATAAGGGATTGTTTTCTCATTGTGATTATTTCTTTTAATTATTTATATTTATAATAAGTTTACTATTGTAATCTTTTGGAGGAAACAATAACGAGTATCTATCTATCTATCTATCTATAAGGGATTTTCACAAAAATCCTCATTGAAATATGACATAACGAAATCACGATAAGGTTGCACGTGCTAAAACAATAATGAAAAAGGTAAATTTACCTTATAAATCATCAGATTAATGACAATCTCATGATGCCATCTGGGTACGTCTTCTATCGTCGAGAAATGAACTGGGGTAACAGATGAGATGACAGTGTAACCTACCTATCTATGTTGGAAGGTGGTGTCGCGTACGGCGCGTTGGAGTTGTTTCTCTGGTACCTGCCGTACGCTGCGGGTGTGTTGCCGCGGCGACAGTACTCTGATGCACTGTCGTTGGTACCACGCCAGTTGGCAGGCGCCGCCGCCGTCGCAGCGATTGGACACGTGTTGCCTGTGCTTTCCTCACCGCCACTGTGAACAAAATATTACAATTAATTGCATTATAATATTGCATGATAGCAAAAACTGTTTCCAGTAATAATTAGGTATCATCATAGTGCCTGCCCTTCTAAATAAGTACGTTGTCCTAATTTTTACTTTACCTCATTTTTTATCTCTCACTTATAGTAATGAATGCAGCTACTGTGTAGTAGCGTCTCGTTGGTTAATGTTCTAGTCTTGTTTAAAAGTTAATTTATGTTAAATTACATATTACATTTAAAAATTGTACAATTATTTGTACAATTTTTAAATGAGGAAAATATAGACTGCAGACTTTTTCTCGACTGATAGCTTTATTTATAACAATAACACACCAAAACAAACTTTGAAGAGGATTTTAATTCAACAGAATAATGGCTTGTTTTTACGAAAATCGAGTCACATCCCATGACTAAGTAAATTTTTTTTCAAAATATACTTTATCCATACTTAGTAGATTAGCAATTACCATTACATCACCTGTGTCTACACATCCATCATTTACTTCATCGTGTTTAAACCTATAAAAACATTATATAGGAAATTAGCACGAGTGAACATAGTGAAAAGGAATTTTTATATGGATATTAAGAAAATAAGATTATCAATCATCCGTTCAATCGATTTCAAAATTCTCTGTCGAAGATTGCGACCTTTTTAGTTTATTTTAATAGCTATATATTCTTTTTATCAGTCACTGTTCTTGTTTTGTTTTTTTTTTTTTTCACAGCATAATTTTCTATCAAATATACGGAAGCAATTTATTATTAAAAGACAATTATTTATTTAATATGCACCATAAAACTGGGAAACTCACCATACACACTACTTAAATGTAAATTTAACTATACTACGTTATACTCGTATTTTCATTAATTGGTTGATGTTGATTATTTACTTTACAATCAATGCTTATTTTTATAAATGTGAAAATGAGTTTGGTTGTTTGTTAACTTATATCACCTTAACGGTTTAGTAAACATGTCAGTCACGCGGACGAATAAGCTAGTATTACAATAAATCAAAGATAGGGTTTACTCTCCCGTATTGATTGCATACTAACAATTTGTCCTGAGGGAAATCAGTTTTTTAAAAACATAACTCTAAATCATCTAAACTGATATTATAAAGATATTTTTTTACATTGAAAAAACTCATAATACATACGATTTTAAAATCTTACATCTATAGAAAGCTAAATTATCAGGTAAGTAACAGCATAAGTAACATGAGATATACTTTATTATAAATATAAACGTAATCGGGGTGTGTCGCACGTTATTAATTTATTATTTTACTAATTGTATCCCACGGATTTCCCCACGTGAACCTAAATGGGTACTTTATGTATTTTATTATGCTGTTAAAATATAACCTTATCGTGTAGCAAATTTAATTCAAATACGTTCAGTAGTTTGTTTTTGAAAAAAATATCGATCCATATATCCTCACAAACTTTCATAATGTTATAGGATTCCATAAAAAAAGAGTCGATCAGGTGCGAGTTACAAGCCAAGGCTATCGTACAAATATATAAGATAAAATGACCTTTGTGTTTTTAGACGAAACAGACAGCTACATACCGAAAGTTATAATTGTTGTAGTAAAAAACTAGACTACTAAACTAAGTTTTTTTTTTTGACGATAATTGTAATTATTTCAGATTTTACGATTTACAAATTTCGGAGATGAAAATGCAGAGATGGAAATAGTACTTTCTTTTTTTTTACATTTTAAATCATTAAAACTACACGGCATAAATATAATTAAAAAAATTGTTTAAGAACGTACAACTAAAGCGCTTTTCTTAAACAATTTGTGAGTAATGCAGTTATTATCGATCCTAAAAAGAAAACTGTAACTTAAGCTAAGGATCCCAAATAAACATTTTTATTTTTATTATTTTATTTAATTACAATCATTTTGGAATTTTCAGCAAATTTTAGACTCTCTAGCAAAGAATTTTTTTTTTACATGGGTGGACTAAAATTATTTCCATCTATAGCATTTATAGTTGCTAAAATAAAATGCTTTGGCAGACGAAGGGACAAACAGACAAAGTCGCATTCTAAAGAATCCTTTTTTATATCATTTATCGTACGTAACCTTAAAAACAAATTTAACAAACATCGTAAAAACATAACCGATTAAACATTGATTAGAAATGAATAAGACAAAAATATTCATTTAATCATAAAAATCGTTTTGTCTATGTCTATTTCATGATTATTAATTTACTAGACATAGTTGAACATTCTGAAAGAAAAATAAAAACAATTCCTGGTTAACTGTTCGAATTGAAATCGGATAAAAACAATCAATGGTAATAACTGCAAAAAATAATTAAACATTACCTTATTACAATAATCGAAGGCTGCGATTAGCATGAGCCATAACTATGGTTACAAACCGCAGCAAACACACCTTTGTTTATAAGAATACTAGGTTTTACCTGCAGCTTTGTCCCCGCGACTGGGATATATTCATTAACCAGGATAAAAATTAACCTCATCGCATACATTGCTAACAATATATCTTATTAAGTCGACCTCCACGCAACTCCCCCTGGAAGCTAACTGATCTGGGGGTCTACCATGAAATGAAATTCCGAATTTTCGGGCTCAATTTCGTGTTTTTGTTCATACCGAAATCGTCTCTGTAAATCAAGCTTAACATTTCGTTTGTCATCAATCCTACCACAAAAGTCCAAAGGAACGATTTTTTAGCATTTTTAATATTTTTAAACGGTATGTATTATGTAATTTGAACATCAAATTTCTGTTTCGTTCGGATCCGAAATTTCGGAAATCATTTCATGGTAAGCTCTCTGGTCTCATCAGCGTAGACCGATAGCGTAGACGGTGTTATTATTCCATTTTCTTCACATTAAAAAGAATTAAAAAACCACTAGGATAAAAGGAAAAGATAAGTAAACAATCGAAATATCATTTTGTTGAAAAATTGTTGGAGAATTTATATAATTTACTTTTGCTACAAATTGCAAATCACATTACTAATGAATACAGATATTTAAAAGTTTTAGAATGTGTAAATGATCGACTAATATTTTGAAATTTCGAATAACTATTTCAAACAAGCTAGCAAAGAAAATATTATGCAAGCATGAACAACAATGGCTTAAACTATTCTAATAAAATTAAATTGTAGTTGTTGAAATAGGGCGCTGTAACTGACAGATAGCTAGACGGAGTCGCATCATTTCAATAACCTTAAAAAGAAGAATTATTTAAAAATCTTGTGATAAACAAAGTGCAAAATTAGTATTATTATATACTTTTTTATTTTTCATCTGATGAAGACACAGACCTAAGCTAATTTAGAAAAGTTCCATTGCTAATGCCATAATTCCGGAATTACATTTATTTTAATTATTCGTGTAAGTAAATATAATAAAAGTATTCTAATCTTACAGTCTGCAAATTTTTATTTATGCAACTTAGAATGTTCCTCCTGATGGAAAACGGTAACCGTCGCTTATAGCATGAACAGCACTATGAATATCATATAATACATAGCAGGTATGTACTTACTTGTTAAATTACGTACAAATTAAATACACCGTACATTTTTTTAACGGCATCAGTCGGCATCATGATTTATCATCATCATCATCATCATCATCATCATTATAACTATCATCACCACATAGTATAAAACAAAGTCGCTGTCGCTGTCTGTCCGTCCCTGTGTATGCTTAAATCTATAAAACTACGCAACGGGTTTTGAAGCGGTTTTTTTAATAGATAGTGATTCAAGAGGAAGGTTTTTATATGTATAATACATGCATAATATTGTAGAGAAACTCTGATAAATTTAGAGGTTTCTAATGTGATGTCGTAAATAAACACATTTTTCTGCACTTTCATTGCAAATGCTGGCTGAACCCCACGAGATAAATCAAAATAATGTACTATACTATTGTACACCTCAAAAGGGTCAACAAAAAAGTCCGCGATGATATATATTTATCTCTTAAGGATAACCATTTTTTATCCTTTACATTTTACGGGAAAAAATGGCATATTTACGAAGTGATTTTAAGTAATACAGCATTAATTTTTAACCAATTAAGTACCTTAAATACATTATCTATTTAATATAGATCAACATGGCCCTTTACTGTAGTAGGTAGGTATATTTAGTAACAGTATTGCACCCGTGCGAAGCCGGTGCGAGTCGCTAGTTATGTAATAAATAAATACGATTTATTTAATAACAGTGTCTTAATATTAATTAAAATATTATTGATAATTTATTTCGTTGACATATCACATTTTTTTTATACAACTTAGAATGGCAAACAAGCTGACGGCCCACCTGATGGAAAGTGATAACCGTCGCCTATAGACATGAGAAGTACCATGAACGTTACAAAGTATACTGTTTCGCCCATGATACCGCCCATGCGTTGCCATTCCTGAGGACTCAGGTGTTATTCCTCTGTACCCAGTAAATTCACGCCATATCCCACTCTTCAAACCAAAACACAGCCATGCAAACACAACTGCTTCACGGTTGAAACACGAATGGGACAGAGGTACCCAAGCAATCGACTTTTGTACAAAGTCTCCCTCTGGTACATTCAAAATAGTATAAGTTATAATACGACATTGTGTCAATAATTTAGCTTCTTATTGCGAAGCAGTATTTTGCTCCTAAAAGAAAAACAATGGCTTCAATCATCACAAAAAAAAATTAATAAAGGGCTAACACGAGAGTGAACCCTATCAAATGTAAAATACAATAAATTATCAAAATTGATTTAGAATTATTTATTTCTAATCAAAAAACTAAAACCAAAATTTCGTACTTCTAGCTTCAATTAGAATAGAATACCCATACTAAATTTTATTCCCTATTTCACCCCTTTAGGAGAGTGGGTGAATTCAATGAGCCTAAACCTAAAATTTCACGTATCCAACTTCATATGTACCAAGAACCAGTGTTTTATAGGAGGATTCTGCTTTCTT